TTATATTTTATAACGACGTAATAGTTAAATAGATAATAGATCCGATAGGCCGAATACTTATTAGAATTTAACTATAAAATAATCTATAGAAAAGGAATAGAAAACGGTCGAGCTAATACCCTTAGTCGACGAAGTAACTATAATATAAGGGCACTTATAGTAGAAGGACAGCTCCTAGAAATCAACGAAAATAGGAACTACTAATAACGATAGCTAAATATAATATTTAAAGTATAACCTAATAACTCGACTTACTAGAAGATCCTAAAATAGATAAAAGAATATAAAGCACTAAATAGATATAATATAGGATATTTAGAAGTTCTAATATATAAAAATAAAATCTAGATACTACTAGAATTACGAGATAAAGTTATATAAGATATATATAAATATCTAATATATAGATACTAAGGAATCTAAAGAATAATAGAATAGATTAAACGGTAATATAACTTCCTATAGCTTAAGGAAGTAGTATAATAAGTTATTAAAAAATATAAACTTTACGTATAAAGTAAAGCTAAACGATATAAGCTATATAGAGAATTATAACCGCTACTAGTACTAGAGAAGCTATAAGATTTAATAGCTTTTAATTATATTATAAAGCTACTACCGTTAAAAGAACCTATAACTAACGTTAAGTATAATAGTATATTCGTTATTACTAACCGATTAACGAAATACGGATACTTCTTACTATATAAAGAAGTAAGCAATATAGAAGAGCTAGTATATATATTCCTATAAATAATTATTAGTAATTATAGACTACTAAACGAGATTATCTTTAATAGAGGAAGTATATTTATAGCTAAGTTTTAGTAAGCCCTTATAGTATAATTAAGGACGAAATATAAGCTTAGTATAGCTTATTACCTATAAATAGATAGATAAATAGAACGACTTAACTAAACGCTTAAATAATATTTACGATACTATATTAGCTACGAATAAAACGATTAAGCTAAATAGCTACTAATAGCGTAACTAGCTTATAATAGCTTAGTTATAGAAATAACTAAGCTCTTACTAATATACGCTAATTACGGATATAACCTAGAAGTATTTAAGGTTACTCGATAAGGACTATAAGCGGAACGAGCAATACTATAAATAGATTAACTACGAAAATTATATAAAGAAATATAATAAGAACTTTAATTTATTAGAGAACGAATATCTACTTACTATAATAGGAAAAGATTATAGGGACTAATATTTTAAGAGGGAGATATAGTCTACCTTATACGACGAAATATTAAAACGAAACGACTAAGTAATAAATTAGATTTTAAGAAACTTAGACCGTTTAAGGTTAAGAAAACTATTTTAAAAGTTAACTACGAACTTTCGCTACTAATAATAATACGGATATACCCGATATTTTATATCTTATTATTAGAACTAGCGCTATAAAACGCTAAACTATAAGAAAAAATTAAAGTCAACGATAATTAAGAATATAAAGTAGAATAAATACTAGATATAAGAAAAGGTTAGTAATAAGAATACCTTATTAAGTAGAAGGGATATAGACTAAAGGAAAATACCTAGGAACTACTTAAGCACTTAACTTACTACGGCTCTCTACTTCGATAATTTTACTAAAAGGTTTAGGAGGGATTAAAGGACTAAGATCTATAAACTCCTCGCTAATACTAAACAAGGACTAATTTACCTCGTTAGGAACGCCTAACGATTATAAGTTATTTACTACCTAATACTTATATATATCGAGCGTAGGTAAAACGCTATCCTCGGTATCTACTTCTTAGATACTACGACGAAATAACTTAGAACTCTTTTCCTTTATATAATTCCGAATTTTCCGGATATAAGCTAAACGATTAACGGTAATAGATATTTACGACTAAAGGTTCGTAAGCTATACCTAAAGCTCTAATAAGGCTTCCCTAGCTTCCTCCTCTTCGGAATATAGCCTACGCTACTCCGCTAATAATTTAGTTACTAAAAGAAATACGTTAGCTACTACGCGTAGAAAGAATTAGAAGATACCTATAAGAAGAGGCTACTAAAATACTATTATAATAGGGACGACTACTAGTAATATAATTATTATAGCGCGAAGAATTTTCGGCTATCTAATAATTCGTCTTCTTCGCCTTAAAGTATCGAGTATACGGTATATCGGTAGGATCTCTACTTAAGTTAATATATTCGGTAAGAGTAGCGCGCTTAGAGGCTTTTTAGGAACGATTTTTTAGTATACGACTAGATATACTATTAGTAGTATATCCTAAAAGGATAAAGAAATAAGGAACGATATACTTACGCATAACGCGATAAGGGTATATTTATATACGGCGGCTAAGGCAGCTATAGTAGGTCTTACGGATAAGACTAAAAGGAGGGGAGATATTATATTACGACCACGGCTACTAGGCCGCTAACGGTCGACCGCGTTAAGCACGTAATACGGTCTAATAGATAAATAGTCGGCACGACTATCTAATAGATATAGGATCGAGGAGATCGTAGAGATCTAAGCGATCTAGGATTAACGAGATTACTACGCTCTATACGATCTAACGTTAGGGATTATAGCTAGGCCTATAATCTAAGGATAGTCTCTATAGGTATATATAGCTACCTACTTTTACTCCTTTAAATAGATAGCTCGATAGCTTTTAATATATTATAGATCTTTATTACGATTCTATCTCTAATTCTAATTACCTAGTTATAGTCTACGGTCTATAACCTCCGACTTATTACTAACGTAATATACTTATTATTGCTTAGACCACGCCCTATTATATCTACTAATATAAACCCCTCGATAGGTTTATCCCTTAGGAATAACGCCGGTCGTTATAGCCCCTTAACTAGAAAAATAAAAACCTAGGGCTAATACTAGTAACTTAATAAGTATAGCGTAAAGCTAGTATAATAACTTAATTACTAGCCTAGCTAAAGGCCGGTATTAATAAAAATAGCCTACTAAGCCTTATAATAGAAAAATAAAGTAAAGCCTAAGAAGATATTATTATAAGATAAGGTTAAAGATAATTATATAATTAACTATTAACTAAAAACGCTTATACTATTAATTAACGCTATATACCCCGCGTATATAAAGGAGTTACTTTCTAAGGTTACTTTATTATAAGGCTAATATAATTCCGACTAACTATAACGATACCTAAGATAGCTAGCGTAAGATTCCTATATATTATAACCGCGACTTAGTATAAGGGTAAACTAGCTATAAAAGAGGGGAGGGTTTTCCTTTAAGTACTTTAGTTTTTCCTTCTTATTTAACGCTAAAGTTCTAGATACCTTTAGATAGGTTACTAGTATAATCTTAATAATAATATAAAGCTAATAAGGGAGAGATAAGTATTATAATATAATTAATATTACTTTACTAAGTAATAAGGAGTTAAAAGAAGTAAAGGAGATAAAGGAAGTAAAGGAGATAAAGGAAAGTAACTCTTATTAAGAAGAATAAGTTTAAAGCTATAAGAAAAAGTAAAAAGGCTATATAGTAATAAAAGTAATAGTCGCTTCCTTTATAAAGAGAACTAGATATAAAGAGAATATTTACCGCGATAATAGGACTTTAAATATTAAAAGGATAGTTAAGGTAAAAGATAAATAATATCTATAAGATCTTATCCTTTAATTTAATATTACTTTTAGCTATATAGCCTATATATATTTTATAGGTGCCTTATATTAAGATAAGTATAAACGATTAATATAATAAAACTAAATAGGTAATACCTATATATAGCCCGAATATACCTATATATATTTTTAGGTACCTATTTTAAATTTACCTACCTACTAAGTATTTATAGTAGCCCTAAAATAGCCCGTGGGTAGGTATAGGTAGCCTATAAGCAAATACCTATAGGTATTTTTAAGTCTATAATCAAGGCTGCTTTATAAGCGACGTGGCGTGAAGTGGAAGGATTCAGTTGCGAAGGAACGCCAGCCCAGGGCTGCGCAAGCTCACATTAACCACAACCTCCCGCTGGGGCTTAGAGGACCATGGACATGGTTGCCCTCACGAGGCATCAACTTCGACTAGTAACGGACGGGATTATCATACAATTGAAAGTGTTTGCTTTAAGCTTCCAAGCTAGTTCAGATTATTGTCTTGGCAGACGATCATGGGGTCTTGGAGTATTGTGAATAAACTTTTGGGAGTTCGTAAGGCTGATGGAGGGTCGCCAACACTCAAAGATACACTATGTACCAGCAAAAATCGGCATCATGGAGAAATTTCTTCACGAGAGTGAATAGCAAGAGGGCGCGGTGGGGATTGATTTCCTCCAGCTGGGCAAGGGGCTATCAAAATGAGTCTTGTTCTTTGTCCCGTAGCAAATCTCTATTCGGCCCAGATTCTCTAGAAATCTCCTCTTTTAATTGGGTGTTATGCGTCTCGTCTTATACATTGCGCTCACCTCGCGCGGGGGATAATCCCCCACAGTAGGGCCCCTCCCTAATGGGGGGACTACAAGCTCAAAATATTAATTTATTTTTAAATTCTCCGCATGAATATAAAGATTTAAAACTAAGGGAACCCTTCACCGACTGGCTTGGACGCTCGAGTACGTTTTTCTGCAGTTAAAGCTTTCCAGAAAATTTCGAAAGATTTACTGTCAAGGGATAGCCCTGTGTATAGTAGTAGCTAGTGACCTTATGTACGTTTGCTTTGGCGGGTTGGGCCGAATAGAGGTTTGCTAAGGGACAAATAGTAATACTCTTGAAAATCTCGCCCTGACTAGGTAACCAGCAAAATTGCCACGACAGTCATCCGTAGGTAGCATATATGATTATATTGGTGAGTGTCTGCTGAACGATGCCTTTGGCACGAGTGGCATTCCCACCAAAAAAATGCTGACAATGATGCTTATGCCGTGCCATTGTGCGTGCCTCTCAAGTCTTTCCCTTTTGCAGCAGTTAGGCAGGTGTTAAAGCGCCATGTGGGCAGTCTAATCCATACAGAGAATTCTTGTGCAGTCTTAGCCATATCTGCTGCCGGTATGAAACGTCGGGCCCGGTTTGCTGGAACCGTTAGATTGGGACGCACGCTCTGTGAAATGGTTCTCGTGCTTGACGGTCATGTCCTCGGATTGCTCGATGGGCACGTTGATAGATGGCTCGACTGCCGAGCCGGACTCAATCTTAGTGGCGGCGCGTTGTTGTTCAAGCCTGGAGGAATCGCGCAAAGTGCGATCGTGGACGGTGGGGAGCGCGAGAGCCTGGGCGGTCAGCGAGAGGGCCAAGAGCGAGAAGAAAGAAGACTTCATGATGAAAAGAGTCTGCTGTGTTTTCCAAAGGGGGATATGGCATTCAACCGGTAGCTAGTGGTGGGCGTTGAGCGGCTGTTTTAAACTAGAGAAGGTGGAGATATCTTTGACAATGTCGCCGACGGTGGAGTAGACAATGAGGCGTGAGTGGCCCTCCCGACCGCCGACATGGTAATATTTCGTTTTCCAACCACATTATTAGCCAAGGTCGAGACGCAAAGGAGTCATGCCCCAATACATGCATAGACCGTTTGGTGGCGGAGCGAGTTAATATAGTTAACCCTTGGCTATAACGATAAAATTTGCATAGCATTCCTATTATTATAGCTAGACATCTATTTATTATACCTAGAGAAATAGGACTTGGGTCTTTTTTACTTGTTTATTAAGGGATCGCTATTAAGACTTATTACTAGATACCTCTTAATATATTGTTATGCCACTGCTGCGTCTTGTGACTCTTCCCAAAGGAGATGCGGCAAGTGCGTGAAAATTGCAGAGGAGAATGTAAGGGTATTTCGTCAGACAACGGAGGCAAAAGTCGTTTGATTCTTTCAAGAGCAGAAGTAGGTGCAGCGTGTTAATTATTAATACACTGTGTTTTCTTCTTTTCCTCTACCTCAAGCCCCTCTTTCTCTGGCTTCCAAATGTATTTGGGAAATCCCTTATAACTGTAATTTTAATGTCTCCTCTTTGACCCCTCTTTTTCAGCTGTTGCCAGCTTTTCCGTCTAATCTTTCGCTGCTGCTCGGCGTACATTCGTTTCGTGCTATCCGTGGGCTCGCAGGCGGAGATTAGCTTCCACCGGCCTACTCTACGCGCTTTAGGGGCACGAAAATTCCTACGATATTCGCACCTCGAAACAGAAAGCATAAGGAATGACTATTCTGACGCCCCATCGTCTGTGTCGCCATCTTCTACATCCCTTTCATCATTACTAATTCTTTCGCCAATATTCTCTTCTTCGTTGCCGAAGCTCCCCATCCTCAAGCTTAATGCGCTGAACCTGAGTTACTCGATCAAGGAGCTCTTGCTAGATGCAGTTAGGAAGTTTGAATACACAGATAATAGACAAAAGGCGAGATTGCGGAGCCACCTGCAGTTGAGGCACCACTTCAATACGGCTAAGAAGTAGTGCTATATGCTGAACGCCCGTTTATGTAACCGTCTAGAGATGACATTTGTGTCCCCCGGCAATGGTATTCCGATCCATATGGCGCCAACACGAGCGGTACCAGCCCAGGCCTTACATCAACACGAGAGTGCAGTCATGGCCAAAAATTCCCGCCGCCTCAACGCCCCGTGATAAGGCGAGACGCCAGAAACCCGGCTTGCTGGGCAAACTTGTACCCGGAACAACACGAGCTGCTGAGTCTGACCAGTTGCAACTCGAGCATTTCATAGCTCTATATAGATTTCTGCCTGCCCTGTGAAAGCGTATCCTTAAGTCACATCAATAGCCCGTGAGATTTAAGCCGCCGACTTCATAGAACGAAGACTGTGCAGCTTTCTCTCATGTACTTAGAATCACACCGGGCATTTGAGTCTCCCGTAAGTGAGCATCTCGCCGGGCGCTTCGATTTGCACAATGCTCCCTCGATCAAGCACGACCAACTTATTGAAACCGTGAATAGTGTTCAGCCGATGGACGACAGAGACGACGGTATGCCCCGAAAACTCAGTGCTGAGGGCCTCAAGCATCACCTTTTCCGTCTCGTAGTCGACGCCGCTCATGGCCTCGTCCATGATAAGCACGCTGCTCTCATGCTTACGCAGAATCGCGCGTGCGAGACAGAGCAGCTGCATCTGGCCATGAGAGAGGGCGAGATGCTCTACTTCGGTATCTAGGGAACCACTTTGGCGGATTGCGGTCCAGACCTGCAGTCTTTGCAGCAAGGCAATCATGTTGTCGTCTGTGATTATCTGCTCGGACGGGAAGTGAGTGCGAGGAAGCAAGTTGGAACGCAACGAGCCAGGGAACAGAACGGGATTCTGCGGAATGACGATCAAGCCTTGTCGAAGAGCTTGGTTCGGGATACGTGAAATATCCACTCCGTCGATCAAGATGGTGCCCTCGTAGTTTATCAAGCCGAACAGGGTAGAAATAAGGGACGATTTCCCGCTGCCAGTGCGTCCACAGATGGCAATCTTTTGGCCGGGCCGGATGTCAAGCGATAGGCCGTGGAGAACCGCCTCTTTGCCTTTTGGCGTTGCATAGCCTGCCTCGATGTTTTGCCACTGTAGGTGTCCCAAGCGTGGCCAGGACGCGGGGAGCTCCACCGTCGCATGTATACCCAGTGACGGCTCGGCCTCCTGTGACGTGGCCTTGGTAAACTCTTTGAGGCGCGAGATGGCGCCAAGCGAGGTCTCGAGTGACGTCCAAGATGACAAGAGATTGGCAAGTGACTCGCTGAATCCCAGGGCGCTGTACATAGCGATGGCCATGTTTCCGGGTATGGACGAGCCGGCAAGGACCCCAAAGAACATCAGGAGCACCGCTGCCGCATCAACCAATAGGTCAAGGACCAATGTAAGCCAGCGCTGTATCGAGTAGAGAAGATAGTGTGGGCGTTGAGATTGGTCTGGTCAAGGAGTGCGAGAGACGCCTCCGTCATAACTGGCTGCCACCCAAACGCTCTTATAGTCGCCAAACCCTCAATCATCTCAAGGAGCTGCGTGTAAAGAGGAGCCTTGGCCTGCAGATCGAGGACGCGGAGTTGGCGGGATGTACAAAGGTAAAACCTTTGAAGTAAATAGAGAAGAAGGATTGCCAATGGAAGAGTCGCGGCAAGGTACTTAGAGCCCAGGATGATCAATATGGCCTCGCCCACGCAAGAGAGAAGGCCTTGTTGCAACGTCGGGTCAGTTGGTGAAACTACATACTCGCAATAGGGAAACAAACCTGCGAGACTCATATAAGCTGCTGTGGGAAGCTCACGGTCGACGAGGGACATGTCTTGGCTGAATCTGCATCGTGAAGTTAAGCTCGAGCCGGTAAAGCATCCACAAAATGCTGCCTACCTGTTAACAAGGTCGCCCGTGTCGACGTAGCTGAAGAAGGCCATAGGTGCCCTGGACAGGCGGTCAGCATCTTGCTAGCACGCCTACCCTGGCGTCGTCTTGTTCCACTTACTTCATCGTGGTCTCGAGCAGCTTCCAGTGAAGCCACTCGGCAGACTTTGGTATAACAACAACGAACATGAACCTGCCTCATAGAGCGTGGTCAGACGTAAGCTGCCAACAGGATGCCCGAGGCAGCTGAAAGACCAAGGCTCACCAGCAGTTTATGCCGACAAAGGCTACCCAGACGCAGAGAAGCGTCACATAGACGCCGTAGTACGCCCATGCGCTGGCCTCGGCGTGGCCATCGTTGGCTTCCGTCCACCACTTGAGCCATATTTCTGCCTTGGGCGTCAGCGGGAGGTGAAAGGTGCTGCTGCCGCTACTGATGGGAGCCTTGACTGACGAGAGAATTGGGCGAGGAACGCATCGATGACTCAGAGGGACAGCGCGGTCAGCCCAAGCTTCCATCCTATTGAACGAAAGTAGTAGAGGTAGAGAGACAAGTCTCCAGTGCGCCGGCTCAAGTCCTCGACGTCCTCGGCCTCGGCCTTGGCGGCGGGCTTAACCGACGTCCCCAGTTTGATCTCTGACGAGGACGACGATGTCACGGATGACGAGGGTTTCTGGTTGGTTTCCTGATGTATAAGCTGAGATAGGGAGTCGCCAAGCTCGTCGATGGATCCTTGACTCGAGATGCGGCCGTTATCGAGGATGATGATGTGCTGTGCATCTTGAAGGAAATCCACTGTTTCTCAAGAGTAGCCCAGTCAGTCTCGCGCTAAACGGAACATAGCCGAGGTGAGCGCATCGGGTCCCGCTTACATGTGTGAGTCGCGAGAAGGACGGTCGTCTGATGGCGGCGCAGTAAGCCTGATGGCCCAAATACATGAGTCCAGACGTGGCTCTTTGTCTGCGCATCGAGACCGGCGAAGACATCGTCGGCCACCAAGATGGACCTTTTGGCGTAAATTGCTCGTGCGAGTGCCTAGTCATTCATCTTGAGCATGACCAATCCATGGCCAAGGGAGAGCTTTTGTTGACATACCACGCGGTGTCTTTGACCACCACTCAGCGTCAGTCCTTTGCTGCCAATCAAGGACCCATCGCCGTCCTGCAGCTGCTGAAAATCATGATCGAGCGCGCAGGCCCGGACAACGGCCGAGTACCAAGCCTGGTCAATGTCCTCGTCTGCGGGACCTACAATGTTCTGTTGGATCGAAGCGTTGACGAGCCACGGCACTTGGGAACAATAGGCAGTCCCTTTTGTTGTTCGGTTCAGCCTGCCATCGGTATGGAGCTCGCCCAAGATGGCGAGCAGAAGCATGCTCTTGCCGGAACCCACCTTGCCAGTGACGACGGTCAGGGTCGAGGGCGCAATGGTAAAAGACAGATTGCGGAGAAGCGGCTCTTGGCCATCCTTGACGCTGCACGTCACGTTGTCAGCCTCGACCACTGGCGTCTGCCCGCTTCTCCAGGTCGAGAGCTGGATGGCCCCGTCATCTGGCTCTGCAGCGTCCTCTTGAGAGGCTTCAGGACGATACTCGCCCTCGTCGACAAACAGCTCGATTCTCTCGAAGCTGCCAAGACAGCTGAAGAAGGATGGCACCGACGCAATGAGATGCGCGAGCGGAGCGGAGATCAGGGAGATGATGGAGAGCGAGGTAAAGGAAGTAGCAAGGGAAAGCTTCTGCCGGGCCGCGTTGCCACTCATGGCAATGGCAACGCCAAAGGTCAGAATCGGCGCCAGTGCCGAAGGCGTGTTTCCTGGACGGACTTTGGTCAGCAACGGACTCGAAGTCGAAGCCGTTTGTGAGAAAGCAGCAACCAGAGTATGCTTACCCAGAACATTCATATAGGCGATAAAGGTGCGGAAGGTCTTTGAGCGCTGCAGTTCGGCAACCCTCAGAGCCTGGACGCCCCTCGTCCACGAGTCGACCAAGCCCAGCATCTTGACTTCTCTGATAGATCCAATGACGCTCGAAGTGGCCTAGATGCGCCGCTGGATCGACTCGTTCCAAGCCTTCATGGCCGGTCCCATGTGAGTGGAGAGTCTCGACATGATGATGGTGCACACTTTGAGCGCACGATGAGCACTGAATATGTATCAAGCAGTCAGGGGATGAGTTGGGCTCACCAATGACTGCCACGGCGGGTCCGATGCATCCCGCGCCAAGTTCTCTGGCCAGGAGCCATATGGCCAGAGCAATCTCGATGGGGTTGGCCCAGATCTCGTGCAAGGTCTCGAAGGATCTCGTAATTGCCATGACGTCGGGACCGACGAGTGTGAGGGCTGCCGTGTCTGGGTCTCGGGACAAGGCAGCACCGGCACTTAAGGTCTCGACGTATATGAGCGAGACCAGGGATCCTCGAATCATGGTCAAGGAGCGGAATAGGTTCTGCTGGTAGAAGCTACGCAAGATCTTGAGTGCCCGACGTCAGCACTGACTTGGGGATTCAGGCGACGGAATCAGCCAAGTATGGTGGCAACAAGACTTACGGCGGTACCGAGATGGACGAGGCCCGTTGCCCCTACGAGGGCGAATCCCACGTTCCTCGACGCGTCGCCTTGTTGGCGCTCTTGCTGAATGTAAAGGATGACGCGCTTGATGAGGAATGGCTGAGCAAATTTGAAGCCAATCAAGCAAGCACAGTCGGGGAAACGCCGTCACGGCCAGGGGCCCCCTGAGAGAATGTCCCAGTGCGAGCGGCAGACGGTGTCGACCGAGTGTTGTCGACTTGGCCCACCTCTGGCGTGCTCGGACCAGTTTGCCGAGTAACGGCCTTGACTTGAGGCCATGATCGAGCGGGTAGAGCTCATCTGCCGACAAGGTCGCGCGGAAGCCACGGAGTAGCAGGCCATTGAGCCACCAAAAGACACCCCTGTTGATGACGCTACTTGTCGTCTCGGGCGCGAGAGCCGCCCAAGGAGGCAGCAGCATGTGACGCTTCTCGACGAGCTCGAGGGCGGGAACAAGGAGCTTGCAGGCCAATGTGGCGGAGAACAGGGGCGCCACCAGTTGCCGGCCGAGAAGCCATAGAGTGCGGCACTGCAGGGCGTCAAAGGCGCAGGAGAAGACGAGGTAGACGAGGATGACGCTGGAGGGACGGACAGATCGGCGATGCTCCAGGTAACTCAGGCAGCTCAGAGCCAGAGCATTGACAAAGCCGAGCGTGGCGGCAACGAGAGGGACTGGGGTGTCGCCTCGGTGCTGGCGCGACCAGGTAACGAGAAGAGCCAGGTACAACAAGACGACAGTAGCATGTGCAATCTGCTCGGGGACATGAGCATTGTTTCAAACGACAAGAACGGCGAAGCGTAGTGGACTGACTATCTTGACAACACCAATGGGGTGCCGCAGGACCTTGGGCTTGACACGAGACAGGTAGGCGGCTCGCGGCAACAGGATGAGTAGGAGCAGGACGCATGGGCCGACGGTGAGGACCGACTGCTCGAAGAAGAGCGTCAGGTCGAAGCGCGGAGGTTGACAGCCACTCGCGGCCGGCCCAGACGATTCATCACAGCGGCCTGCCGACGAGTTGTCGACGGCGATCATGCCCGGCTCCATGATGGCTCGACGTTCAGGCGTTCAAAGATGTGTATGCTCTCACGTCCGTGCTACCGGGGCTCCCGGGCGAGGACAGCGAGTATGAAGAGGCGGAGGGAAGCGGGAGGCTCCGCCGCCGAGCAGTCACGCATGCGGGGATGACCGATGAAGCACACCCCAGCTGCTAAGCTTGGGTCGAGACCGGTCTGAAGAATCATGCTGTTGGCTGCACGGCGCTGTGGATCTCGTTTAGATGACAGAAGTCGGTGCTGCAGGTCTTTTTCCAGGGCATCTGACTTACAGCACCGCCAAGACCAACACCGCCGAGGGCAGCACTGCCTCTCACATTGTTCCCAGCTCTGAATCCTGGGAGCAGCCGGCGGGCTTGGTCTTCTAGCTGCAGTGTAGCCCTGGACACTGCGGCAGCAACCGCATTTGCTTCGTAGGCAGATCGTGACCGCGGATCATGACCGAAAAGCTTCCCATGTCTCGGCGACCTGCCCAAATGGGCAAGGCATTGCACCGTTTCTTATCACTGAGGGCTGGGTCCTGACAGTTGAGACGAGACTGGTCAGTAGAGTTCACAGACAAACAGGCCCGAGATTCATCAAAACGATGGCTGCATGTCCTGTTGTTTTCTTGACCCCTGATTGGTGCTGGCCGTTTTGCACATGCAAACCAGATGCTTTTGTGCGGGTTTACTTAGGCAATTCCCGAGTAGTTATGAGGCGCCTTGTGTATAAGCGTCCAGTGCAAAGCATCTTCCCAGCTCCGGCATGGAGGACAATACCCGAACCATCTACAGTTTTCCTGTGCTTCTGAGCTGGAGAAGCCCATTCCAACGTCATGTCGCCGCAGCAAATGATTGCTTGTTGCAGATAATCGAAGCAGTGCTCAACGTGCCCTGCGGGGGCCTTGTTTTGCTGGTGCTTTCTGAGCGCGGCCTCTCCCTACATCGTACATATCTGGCTTTCGATGCTGTGTAGCTGCGTGGTAGCTTTCCCGCACCAATCTCTAATGACATGATTGAAATCAGTACTTTCACTATCCTGCGAAGCTGGCAGATGCGCTGTGCTATGTTCCGGAAGGCAGCGTAAATCTCCAAAGAAGGAGTATACAGTAAAGGGGGAAATGTAGTACCCCAAGGGACTTGGACTGACCAGGCAGTATACTTGGTAAAACATGAAAACGCTATATCGATCCAGTCCGATGTCTGTGAGCATCCCAAGTCTGAGGCCATATTGCTCGGGAGACTCTACCAAGACGAAGCCTCGCCCGCCCAGCCACTTTAAGCAAGAAGTAGCCCTTAGGTATCTGATGAGGATGCGGAAACGACCCACTGGGGAGTAGACTGTCCCAAGCCACATTGCTACGTGGAGATGGTTCGGAGCCAAAGATGGGACCACTCTCGAAGGTGGCCGAGGACTGGCCAACCTTTTTTCTTTTGGAATTTCCCCTATCATAAAGCCTGCTCCATCTGGAAAGTTCATGATTGGTCTCGTATGGTGCGTTGGTAAAGCCGGGCTTTCTTCCTTGTTGCGATCCAAGATAATGAGGACGGCCGCCGCAAGCATGGTCGCCAGGAAAGCAATGAGGATCGTCACAACAAGCCGTGACCATGCAGAGGAGCTTGTCCTGGACCAAAGGAAGGGGCCCTTCGTGACCGTTTGGCGCTCGTCATCCTGTGAGTTGCATGTAATGGATACTGGGATATCCCCCCATGACTGACTTCAAATGATGAAAACGAACGGAAAAGACTGAAAAGCGCCGTTTTGAAAGGACGAAGGACGCCAGGGAGTATTGAGAAGAGCACTTATACGAGAGGGGAGAGGACCGTGTGGTGGGTGGGACAGATGCTTACCACTACCTCTTGAACATGGCGACGTCTGCTGGACTGGTAGGGTCTTTCCGGGTCGGGGTACTCGGCAGATGCCAACGGTTCTTCGTGCAGGACCGGTTAATGGCTTTATTACGCCCGTGGACTAAACAGAGACAATCTGCATCGACTTTTCTCTCCAGGCACACAAATACCACTGCCTTGTTTGTTGTTCAGTGGCAAGACACAGCTACATGCCGAGAGCCAGATATAAGGAGCGTTTCGAATCGTCTTTAATAACCGCCTTTTCCCGCTTGTTTCCACCAAAGTATTGAAGAGTTCCGGTTCCCGAAGCAATTCAGGCATCCCACAGCAATTTCCAGTCTTTACACCGACGCTCTATCATTCCATCAGCCACCATGGCCCTTTGTATTGACCCTTGGAGGCTCAATGGTTTGTCTGCTTGGCAAAGGATCGTCTTCCCTCCGGTCATAGCCAGACAGTGTAGCTAGTAGAACATGGAGATGCCGTATAGATGAGTGACATGATCCTGATCTTCTTGCTTGATGAAGCCACCGTTGGGCGACAATAGCTCGTGCCAAAAGTGGTCGAAGGTGTGACATGCATGAAAGATGATTAATTCTAATTAATTATAAGAAGTTTTAAACAGACCGATCAGAGGGCAGGATTTAACGTCCTAGCGATTTTATAACGCGGTGCATAATAATTAATAGGACCTTTTCGTCACATCGTCCCTCAACGTCCCTCAAGGCATTGTCACTCACACCTGCAGACACCCCCTTGTACGGAGGACAGCGCAACCTACACACTCCCTCCACGAAAGGACTTTAGAATTAATGATACTTCCGGCTTCAAGAGGCCAAGCACTCGTCAATATACCGGCGGAAGATGCCGTTGCAGCAACGTGTGACCCAGCGTTGACGCCCTCGAGGGTCTAGAGTTAGCGGCGAAATCGTGGCCAATCGGAGGCCGTCCGGGTGACGGGCTCGAAGGGGGCCGGTGTGGGCCCGTCCCGCCGGGGGCGGAATACGAAGGGCGGCGATTAACAGCCATGTGCCGAGTACCAGGTGCCGATGCGATGGACCGATCCGAGAAGAAGTCTCATGATGAAGCTGATGGCATTATTGGCAATTTTGAGGATACGAATAAGGGGTTTCTTGGCGGTAGCCGGTACTTTGGCCCGTTGCCTCCCGGGCAGAGCATCTTCGGCTTGGCCCCTTTTCCTGCGGCGGCTCCCACGTGGATTTTGGAGAATGGAAGATGACGAGGAGACATGGCGCCAGAAAGAGCAGATATTTCTTTTTCATTGCACTCACTGTTTGCTTGGTTTCTCGTGAATCTGTGAATTTCTGGTCCGAACTTTGCTTCCTGTATCTGTAGAGCCACGTTGGGAACCGGTACTTCGGTACTGGGTACTTGGTGTCGGCGGCTCACTGGGACGCCGGCGATTGAGACGGGCCGGTGCCTGCGCATGTACCAAGTACTTTACCCTAACCTCCTGCTCCTCCTCACCGGACCCCTTTCCCCGTCTCCGACTCGGCCTCTCTTTTTCTTCTTCCTCTTCTTCATCTCCTCTTCGTCTTACCCCCTTGTCGCCAGCTGCTGGGTCCACTCACCCACAATCACATACACACATATCGTGGGATCGGCCACCACATCTCAACCTCCCCTCCCCCCTCCCTCTTTGGGCCCCATCCATTGGCGCCGGATCCGCTTCGATTGGGCCATCCTGCATACGCTCCCCCCCCGCGCATTCGAGCCACGACATCGCACCGCCGGCGTGGCACCACACTCCAGTCTCTTTCCCTCGCCTCCCTTCTCCGACGGTTTGTTTCTTGGCTCGTGGCGTCGTCGTTCCGGCCTCGGTTCACCGACCTCGCTACCGCGACGACAACTTGACAAGATATCTCCGGTCCGAGCTCTGCAAGAGGAGCCCGCGGTTGGACGGACACAGACAAGCGAAGGCATAGAGAGAGAGGCACTGCATCGCCTCGCGTCCACCAAGGCGCCCGCTCTAATATCCGCCCCTCACGCTCGTCTGTACCGTGCTGGCTGTAACTTCCTCTCCCGCCTGTATACCTACCCATCACGACCAGGTCAGTTGCTCTCTCTCTCCAACACCATCCCATTCCTCATCCTCGTCTCCCATGAGTCCCTCTCCCGGCCTTGTTGAGCGGGCCATCCCCTACACTCTTGCTGGTCGACCCTTTCCGCCATGTTTTGATGCTCCTCTCTTGCCTCTGCCTTTTTTTCCTTGTATCATAGCACCGCCAGCTTCTCCAACTGGCCCAACCTGATCCGGGGCCACCCGGTCCTCTGATCCGTCCCCCATCCCCGACCCGCTCGACTCGGCTCACACCATGCACAGTAGAGACTCCAAGTCACGCAAGTCCGTCATCAGGATGGACCCCAACTGCGCAATATGTAGTGGCCCGGCCACGCTCGCCTGCGACTGCGAGGCGAAGGGTCTCGAGGTGGCCGTCCGCCAGGCCGAGGAGCGCATGATGCGCTCCATCTACTCCGACATACGGTCAGCAAGCGCCCTCACCAGAGCCCAAGTCTCTTGCTGATACCCTGCAGCTCCTGGGTGCGAGCTCACGCCCAAGACTACGTCCTCGAGTATTTCCGCCTCCTCGCTGAGCGGCGCAAGAACGCCCACACGACCCATCTCGACCAAATTTCGGCCCACGCCTTCTACCACTACAATGCCCCGCCCCATCCGAATCAGATTGCCGACGCCCAGGCCATACTCAAGCGCGGCATAGACGAGGACTGGCAGGCCAGCGTCCAGCGATATCCCGAAGTCCTCGAATACTACTTTGGCCTCGTCGAGCTCACCCTCCCTGCCGACGACGAGCCTGCCGTCAAGGATCCGCCCCTGAGTGCCCTCAACGGCCACCGCAAGGCCACCCGCCGCGGGCCAGCCGGCGATGGGAGCAGCAGCAACAACAGTGGGCCCTTTGCCGCCGTTGCCGCTCCTCCCAGCTTCACAGATCGAGAGATGCCCATCGAGCGCCGAACGCCCGCACGCCGGGAACGAAGGCCGCTCTCGTCCCGCATGCCTCCGCCGCCATCGTCATCCTACTATGCTCCCTACACGTGAACGACGGAAGCGTGATAACGCATACTACAAGATGGAGAGAGCGTAGCAAGCAGCTTCTCGGCTGCGTGCCGAATATTCTCCCTCACGAATCACGATGAACACTACGACATTTACAGACCTTACGACGCATTCGCGTATCAAGCATTTCGGCGTGGCGTTTCCCATCTCTTGCAGGCGTGCACGGAAATATTAGGGTGTTGATTTTGGATTTTGCCGGGCCCATGTTTTTCAATCCTGTTCGAGACTGTTGTCGGGAGCCGTCTTACTTGACGAAGCTACGGTATAGAAATGCTTGTTTACAGGTTGAGACGGGGCCAGGGGATCGTCAATGGGACAAGACGTTTCGGAATACTCGCCCGATGAAAGGACGAAGCCGGGAGAAAATGTCCGCGCTGAACACGGGCAGAGAGAAGAGGCGTGCAACCCGTGGCGTCTGACGGCGACATGGGGAGGTATCGACATGGCCTAAGACGAACAAAACAAATGAAAATACAGTAAAAAGTCCACGGGACAGACCGTGGAAGCCCAATCCGGGGCCGTTGGACTCTGTTGGGGAATGATGGATTGCTCGTGCAAGCGAATTCAGTGCTCGATTTCAGGACGCACAGGTGCCCGACGAGTGCCCAAGCCCTGTTGCATTGCGGCCTTGAATCAAAGGCGACCGGCAAAGCCGGTAGCATCCCATCACCGCCAGCAGAGACCGAATGCATGCTGCACGCGGCTTACAAGACACGACAGGGGGGGGGGGAGAAAGGGAAAATGTAAATTCGTCCACTCCATGCACAAGAATCGGCGCCTATGTACATACATTCAATCATCACTCACGTAGGGGAGGAAACAACAAAATGGGCAACGAGGGCAAACAAAGATTCCCTCGCCCTGCTCTGCGTAGGTTCAAACCCGGGATATAACAAGGCCAATCTCGATTTCCTTTTTGTGTCCCCGCGATGCTTTTCCCGCTTCTTGAAATGTTTTTTTATTATTTTTGGTTTGTTGGATGGAGGGGGGGAGTTTGCTCGACACCCGGTTCTCGATGGCGACGAGGAGACGGTGGCCCCACCTACCCCTTGACGAGCGAGGCGAACCTGGTGCCAGAGCTGCAAGAGAATAAACCTGGGCGGTAGAGGAGCAGGGTGACAGTGCGGGCGGGAGATGGGGGACGGCAAAACGGGGGCGTCTCCGCGTCGAGACGGCACGCCGCGTCTACGCCTCCTGCTTGTCGGCAAGGGAGGCGTCCTTGACGCCGGCTGTGACCTCGTCCACCTTGTCGCTGCCGTTGCCGTTGACGCCGTTGGCCTCTTCCTTTTCCAGCCTCTCAATCTCCAGCTTGGCCTTTTCGATGTTCTGCCGGGGGGAAAAGGGTCAGTGAAACTCTGTTGCTTGGCCAACCCCGGCGGTGTGTCATTTGCGGAGCAACTTACTCGCTGAGTCTGGGCCGTCTGGTCCGACTGCCAGTGGTCCAGCTTGGCCCTGACCTTTTCGATGACGCCGGGGACGTCGTCGCCGCTCATGGGCGGGTCGACGCCTATGAAGCCGCAGTCCTCCACGACGGACGGCGGGCAGCTGAAGAACTTTGACGGCGCCGCGGCGGCGGCGCCGGCGGCAGCGCCCCCCTTCTTGCCCTTCTTGCCCTTCTTAGCGGCGGGCAGGTACTCGTCCTCGCGCTCCTCCTTGCGGACGAGGCGGGTGCCCTTGAGGCCGGAGCCGTCGACGGTGCGCTGGGCCTGGGCGCCGAGGCCGCTGTCGGCCATGAGCGGGCCCTTTTCCGTCTTGTGGCTGGGGTCGAGGAAGCGGAGCAGGCTGTGGGCGCGGCGGATCTCCTCGAGGTAGGCCGGGTCGCTGGCCTCTGCGAGGACACGCTCGGCGACGGCCTTTTTGCGGTCGCGCTGGTACTGCTCCTGCTCGGCCTTGCGGCGCTCGCGCTGCTTGTCGCGGGCCTCGCGCTCGTAGGCCTGGAAGGCCTTTTTCTGGGCATAGTAGTCGTCCTTGATCTTGCGGATGGCGGCGTACTTTTCCTGCTGGTCGGCCTGCAGCTTGGAGCGCTCGTCGCGGAGGCCGTTGATGCCCTTGTAGGCCTCGTCCTGCTCGGCCTTGATGGCGTCGAGCTCGGCCTGGATGGTCGAGTACTGCTCCGACATTGCCTTTTGCTCCGGGTCGTCCATGGAGTCCTTGATGTCCTTGATCTTGGCGCGCAGGTCGTCGATTTGCTTCTGCGAGTCGTCAAACTGGCCAAAGTTCTTGCGCATCTTGCGCAGGTTGGACATGTCGCTGAGCGCCTTTTTCTCGTCGACGAGCTTCATGGTGCCCGAGTTGACCTGCTTCTCGAGGCTGGCGATCTGGTCGTCAATGTCGTCGGCGCTCTTGAAGGGCACCTTTGCCTTGGCCGTCTTTTGCTCGGCGACGCGGCTGCGGACCTGCTCGTCGAGACGCTTGATCTGGTCGAGCTTGGAGGTGCGGGCGTTCTTGCCACCGGCCTGCTTCTGGCGGATCTCGTTGGCCTGGGCAATGAGCTCCTGGCGGCGCTTCTGGGTGGGATTGGGCTGGTCCTTGTTCTTGTTGGGCATGGCGATTTCGATCTTGGCCTTGACGGCGTTCTGCAAGCAAAGGCATCAGCAGGGAGCCCTCGACTCGGCCACCATTCCGGACACAGGGGCCGCGCAGGCGCCGGTGGTCAGGGGGAGCAAAGGCTGACTGACCAATCGGTCCATGGAAGCCTTGTGCGCCTTTTCAGCGCCGGCGACAGCCTCCTTGAAGGCATTCTCGTCGGGGCGGGTCGGGCGCGAAGACTGGGCGTCGGCGGCCGCAGGGGCCTTTGCGGGAGCAGACTCGGCCATGGTAAACGATTCCTGAAGCCACGAGCCAATCTGAAGCCGACGAGGACGATCGGGGAGGGGGCTCGCAAGCGCGGTCGGGGCGAGCGAGCAGGGGCTTCAGCTGAAGTTGATGAAGAGATGGTTTGTGCGTGTGGGAAAAAATGCACGGCAGAGAGAATTCTCCCACGGGTGCGACAGAGCGGAGCCCCAATGCCCCCCCCCAATTTGCAAAGCCACTGGGGAATTGGACCCCTACAAGCGGTTACAGCAGACGTGCTAGTGCACACATTCCAGCAGGTCACTCACTGACTCTCGCCCGTGTCCGACTCGTTGGGCCCTTTGGTGTAGATGGATTAAAGGCTGAAAAGCCACGAGCAGCAAAGCACACACAAGTCTCACACCTCTTCATCAATGCCGCCCGCTCACCAGACTGCGGTTCGGCAATCCTCAACCTGTCCCGTGCATCTGCGTGAAATACTTGAGTTACTGGAGTAGCTGCCCTGGTTCCTCGGCACCATCCGCAGGCCAGCTTGTCATGAGCTACTTTGGTACTTGCTGCTGGCGTGGGGCCGCGACCGGCAGCCTCTCCAGCCCCCGTTGGCCGAGTCACATGACCCGGCGCCCGTCTGCCCCAGGGAAAAAAACCCGGCGGATCGGCGCTGCCTTTGCTCCCCGTCGGCAAGGCTGAATCAGAGCGCGCCAACAAGCTTTTTTCCCCTCTTCCCTGAAAGCCTTTCTTCTTTCTCTCGACGACTTCACGCTGCCGCCTCCATCTGCTGCAGCGCCCCATCGCCCGCCCGCCCGACCGACCGATCGAAGCACGCCCTCTTCGCCCCAGTCGCCGCGATGGACGACAACCTTGCCCACGATGCCAAGGCCAAGGAGATGGTGAGGCTGTGGCGAGCCTGGAGGACGGTGCACGAGATGGTGGCCGACCGGGTATGACGCCCTCGACGACACACGCAAACACACGTACGAGGCTCCTTCTGACTGGCGCTGTGCAACTTGCAGGAATACGAGCTTGCCGAGGAGGAAGTCAACATTTCTCTCGACCGCTTCCGCGACGAATACTGCACCTCCGACGGCTCCGTCATGTACGTCCATCGTCGCCCCCGTCGCCCTTTGCAGCGGCAACACCCCACAGTCTAGAAACCAACTAATCAACCTCCCACACAGCCGCGGCAAGTTGCAATTCTCAGCCCGCCCCAGCGACGCCATGGTGCGCAAAAACACCCCCCCCGCCACCGACGCAAACCCGGACCCCTCGACCGACTGCGGCCCCATCTGGGTCGAGTTCCTCACCGACAAGCAGTTTGGCGTCGGCCAGATCCGCCAGTTTGCAAAGTACACAATCTCAAACAACTACAAGACGGGCATCATGGTCACCCACGTGCCGCTGTCCCCCGCCGCCCGCAAGTCCCTCGCCAGCGTCGAGAACCTGGCCAAGATTGAGTGCTTCCTCGAGGACGACTTGCTCGTCAACATCACCCACCACGAGCTCGTGCCCCGCCACGTCCTGCTCTCGCGCGACGAGAAGTCGGCCCTGCTCAAGCGCTATCGCCTCAAGGAGACCCAGCTGCCCCGTATCCTGCAAAAGGACCCCGTCGCCAGGTATCTCGGCCTCAAGCGCGGCCAGGTCGTCAAGATTATCCGCGTCAGCGAGACGGCCGGTCGCTACGCCAGCTACCGTCTGTGCGTCTAGACCGTCACGGTGCTTATTCGACGGGCTGGGGATGTCTTGACAAGGCGGAGCGGTCAGGCGCCAGGCAAGGCCGGACGATTCGACCCCTCATGCAAGAATCAGGGGAGCGGCGGACCTAGAATCACGGAGAGGAAGTTGGCGTTTGCGGAGTATCGGCTTACATACCATGTTTACGGCATTTATTATCCACTGTATCTTTAGATGGCCCCCATCATGTCCAGTCCATCGTCCATTACCGCGTGTTCATCCATTATCAGTAGCCTCCGTTGCTGCCTTGCCTCCAGCCCCCTCTCACCTGGACACGCCGTTTGCCGATAAGTCGCGTCATATGTCATCAGAAAGCCGCTTTCCACGGGGTATATGCATCCCACCCACACGCATGCACACAGACACAAAGCCCGACGCCTTCCGCTTCACCGTCCCGCCAACGTCATTACCACGGCACACAGGCGTCTCGGCGCCCGCCGCAGAAAGACGAGACGGAACGGGAGCGGCCATAAACCAATCCATGCCCGCTCCATGGTCGCCCATGAACGAGACAGCCAGAAACACCAGCCGAGAAAGATGCAACGCCACGTTCTCAAACGCCCAGGCAATAGTAACCAGTGTCAGAAGGGTTAGGCAAAAAGCCAGGACCAAGGAAACCAGCCTTGAGATCCCGGGGCAAGAGTCGTGAGAAGTAAGGAAAAACAAGTCATGGTATACATAAGCCATCGAGGTTCGCCGACGATGGGCAAGGAGAACGGTTATTACAAGGCTCAAGGGCGGCCGTTTGGTGTCCCGAGACCTCACTTGAGGAGACCGCCGGGATCCATGAGCTGCGGGCCGGAATCTCTCCGGCCGTCGTACCGCTGCACCGGTCGGGATTGCGGAATCGACTGTAGCTGGGTTCCGGTTCCGGGCTTCGGCTTGGGCACGTTGCCGTTGCGCGGCCCGGGATTGCCAGCGAGATCTTGCAGGAGCGCCGTGGAGCCTCGCTGCACACCTGCCGTGCCCGCCTGCACCGAGGCCGGAGGGGGATTGGTGGCTCGCGAGGGGCCGGAATCGGTAGCGGTCCGCGCGGCCTCGGGGTCGTCGAGCAGGCCGCCCACGTCCAGGAACGAGAGTCTCCTCGGCCCCGCGGGTGGCGGTGGCTGTTGGTGCGTACCCGGTCCGTGATGCTCCAGCCAGGCTGCACCTCCCTCGTTGCCCAGCCGGAGGGCCATGGGATTGGGAGAACGGGGGGACATGGGCGATAGAGGCTCCGACCCCGGGCTACCGGGCGGGTCCCGTAGGCTGGGGTCGGCGCCGAGGCCGACGTCCCGGACGAGGTCTTCGTCGCTTCCCCACTGGCGGCGGAGGGTGGGAAGTCTGGTACTGGCGGCGGGGTCAAAGGACTCGGCCACGGAGGGGCGGTGAAACTTTTGCTTCTTGATGCCGCGGTCCCGGACAAAGGAGCCGAGGACGAGGGCGTTGGCCGAGGCGGTGGCGAAGATGATCTCGACCGAGGCCAGGAGGGATCGGGCCTGCTGGCGGCCGTGCTCGCGCAGGATGTGCGGCAATCGGTAGATGGTGAGGGCGACGACGGAGAGGCTAAGGGAGAAGAGCAGGATCAACTGGGCCTTTCTCCGGAAGCGCATGCGGCTGCGGACGATGAGAGGGACGGGGAAGACGACGAGGAGGATGTCGGTGGCGACGTTGCACGTGGCCATTGTGATGAGCTGGGCGTAGCCCTGGCGACACTGGCCACCCGGGTCGGGCAGGACCTGCCAGTGGAGGTGAAAGGGGCGGCACTCGGCGAGGTTGGTGATGAGGGTGGCGACAAAGGTGATGACGAGGGTCCAGCGGATGGCGAAGAGGGTCGAGCGGTGCGAGCGCTCCCAGGTGAGGTCTGTGAGTCGGGTGAGGAACTCGAGGATGGCGTACTTGTAGATCCACAGCCTGGTTCAAGGTTGGAGTCAGCGCACCTGGTGCGAGAGAGGGGAAGAGCAAGGTTTACATACGTCGACGTGTAAAAGAAGCGACTGGCTATGGTGAGGCCGCTGGCAATCGACTTTTGGCGCAGCTGGGCCGGGGTGAGGTCGACGCCGGTAAAGTCGGCATTGCTGGTGCCCCAGACGAGGATGAAGTGGACGCAGGCCATGCGCAGGACGAGGGGCACGAGGGCACAGGCGGCAATCTTGTCCTCGCGGAAGAGCCTCTCGGTGCGGATGAAGCGGCCGGTGATGCGGATGAGGATCATGAGGGCGCAAAAGGACGTGGCCCACCAGCAGACGAGCAGGGTGGGTTTGTCGTGGCGAAAGGGCAAGAGGGCGGGAGGGTCGGTGTAGAGGCTCATGCTGTGAGAGAGTTGGGTGATGGCTCGCCCGTCGACCTCGCGAGACGTCTCGACGGGGCGGGGGGATCGGAGGGCCGGACGGACGAGGGAGCGGACGAGGGAGCGGATGAGGGAGCGGATGAGGGAGCGGATGAGTGTTATTGGCGGTTGCGGAGCTGTGGGCGTCGCATGCGAGGACGCGAGCCTCGGCGGGGGATCTCAAGACTGCATGTGAGCGCAGACGATTGCGACGACAGGGCCGAGGCGGCAATGCTTGTGGCGGTGGCGGCGTCGGCGTCGGCGGTGGAACGAGGGGATCGATCCATGGAACGACGAGGGGTCCGGATGTCGGCTGGCGAGGAGGAGCGGCGGCGGCGGCGGCGGCGGATGGCGAGCAAGAGGGAGAGAAGAGCTAGGAAGCCATGCGGCGAGGATGGGGCGGGGGAGCCGTGAAGAAGTAACGCGTAGGCGGAGGGAGACGAGAAGGGCGGAGAGCAAGCGAGGTGAGGAGAGGAGGAGAGAGAATAAACAGGCAGTTAGTTGGTGGTGTTTTTTTCCCTGCTTCTTGGCACACATACAGGCGGTCTACCGACGGGAGCTCCAGTCGTCGCACGCAGGGAACAGCCCTGAAGCGAGAGGCGGCCGGGGTCTGAGCGCACCTGCAAAAGTGGCGGGTCGCGGGGAAGCCTGGGGCATGACGATGGCTGATGGGCGTCAGGGGGCTTAATCTTGTGATGTTTACTTTTTGCCCTCTTTAGCAGTCTTCACCGCTGCCCTTTTTGCTTTCTGTAGCTGTTTCTTTCGCAGTCAACATGATTTTTTTTTCCATTCAAGACAAAGGGGCCATGGATCAGCCTGCATGCACTCACGGCAGGCCGCTGTATGGAGCGGGGATGCGAAATTAGCCGTCGCATTCCGGGGGGGAGGGGGGGGTGAAGCGGTCCCCTCCAGTCACTCAGCGCATGCACTGGGGAAAGATGCGGTGATGGAGCGAGGTCGAGACAAAGCCAGGGTGGTCAAAGCTGCCGGAAGACGGCGCAACGGGCCTGGCAAAAAAAGAAAACCTTGTGCGAGATAACGGCCGGCGCACGCGTGGCAGACATAGGCTGACGCCACCGGAGTAATAAAGATAGCCCCATGCACGCGCCTGGCTGCAAGAGGGGCTGCAAGAGGGGCTGCAAGAGGCGGGACCAATAATAAATGCATCAATCAATCCATCAGGGCTGATGTGATGAAGATGGGCGTCGATGAAGATCCTCCCTGCCTCGCCGCGGATCCCCATCGTGCAGTACCGTACAGTACTGTACGGTGCTGTACTCCGTACCTACCTACAGTTGTACAGTGAAGAGGGACAGAGACGAGAGAGAGAGAGAGAGACGACGAGAGCCGGTCGGTGGGGGTCCGTCCCTCGGCGATGACAGGCGCTCCTTCCCTCCCTCCTCTTTCTCAGACCCTCCCCCCCCCCCCAGCCCTGCGCGTGGAGCGGTGCCGCAGCGCTGGGATGTGGGGAGGCCACGTACCGAGTACGACGCTCTCCGCACAGACACCCACGGAGATCTCGGTCCTCGATACATGGCCCGGTGGCAAAAGTAGAGTTTTGGTCGCCGGGCCTGATTGGCCGCCCAGCACCCGACGGCAGCACCATCGAGGCGAGGCGGGCCGGCCGCAGGAAGCCTTGCTTGATATCTGGTACTTGCATAATTCATACCTGAGGTATCTTGTACAGTACACTGCACTCTAAGACTACACTACACAAAGTCGTCTACAAAAAGTCGTCTCACCGCATCCCCCAGCCAGAGACGAACACTGTAATTAACTTCTTATTAAGTTATACCTAATTATAATACAGTGCTCTGCTCACAGCCACCCGTCCTCTTCTCCTTCTCCTGCGCAATCTCACCCACCCACCACTTGCCCCCACCACTTGCCCCCGCCAGCCAGTCTCTTTCTTCCCCAATGGCCCGGCACGAATGCCCGTCTCGGCATCTGCCTGCGCTGCCAAATGCAGCCCGCTCAATCGACAGCCCTGCGAGCGCACCGGCACCTTCGCTCAACTCCCTACGTACTGACTGATGACGACAGCAGCGGTTCGGACCAACGCAAAACACCAACCGAACCTCGTCTCAACGTCCAATCGCATCGCCTCGCTGCACCGGCCACCTGACGGCGACACGTCCATGTCCCTTTGCCACCTTGGCCGTGGCCTGTCGCACCAACCAAAAAGCCTGTAATTACCTTGCAGTACTAATGTCCTGTAGGTACTGAAATACTAGCTGCTACTACTACTCCACACGTGTTCCCCAAGGCACATGGCCCTGCCTGCCCAACGCCTCCGTCAACGGCGCCTCCATCCCATCTAGCTTTATCTCATGTTCTACCCAAAATGCCTCTCCCACTTGCCGCAATACCTTACTTACAGCTGGCTTGCCGGCCCCGCTGGCCCGCTCCCCCGCCTTTCCCCGCCGACCCGAGGCCCCGACTCCGCTGAGCCGGCACCTTGGAATATCCATGCTGACGCCGCCGCCTCGGGCTCAGCTCCAGATTAGGCCCGCCGCATCCGTATTTGACTGTCACATAAATTTTAACTAATTTAAGTTACATGCTCTCCCTGCTTGCTGACTACCGTCCTCGAATTTGTGCCAAGACCCTATACAGTTATACAGTTATACCGTTATACTACATCCATCCACCGCCGCTGGCCCCCCCGTCATCCGAAGCCCTGCATGACACCCTTATTCTCCTGCTCATCTTACCAATCCAAGAGTATAATTTAATTGGCCTCTCCTCGCCGCATCCTTTCATCTCCGCGTCCCCCTCATCATCCTTCACCAGCCCGCACGTGCAACCACGCGCACCTATGAAAAGGGACATGCCTTGAAGGCCCACGTAAATTAGACTCCCATGTGTACACTTCCATGCGTGCCTCCAAAGTTAGTGCCCCTATCCAGGGACACCCCTATCCAGGGACCAATCGACACAAGACCATGCCGACAAGCTTGCGAGCTTCACCCAGCGCCCATCAAGATCCCGGGCCCAGCTCCTCGACCACTCCCCGAATCGTCTGCTTATCCGCCTTGGCCCAGTCCACGCCGAGGAGCCTCGCTCGCCCCCGGCCGCCCGCTGCTGTCGTCCCGTCGTCCTCATCGCCCAGCACGCCCCACAGCTCGTCCACCACGGCGCTGCGCACCCGCGGCCACGGATGAAACAAGAGCGCCCCCAATCTCCTCCGCGCCTCCTGCACCCCGCCGTCTTGCCCGTCATCGTCCGCCGCCCCACGCCGCACTGTGCATGCCACCCCCCCATACACCTTGACGCACGCCAAGAGCTTGCGCACGTTGCCCGACCGATAGCCCGCCCTCTGCGTCTGCCGACACAGCTCGCGCAGGCTCGCCCCGTCGTCCCGCCCAAACAGCCCGCAGTGGAAGAGAAAGGCGGATATCTCCAGCGTCGGCACCACCACCCGCTCCTCGCCCTGCCGTTCCCGGAGGTTCCGCAGCAGGCCGCGGCAGACGAGCCCGCCATTGGCCCGCGACGCCTCGCAAAATTCCGTCAGCGCCGCGCGACTGGCCATGACGAGGTCGTCGTTGCCCGTGTCGGCCGACGTGACGAAACCCGCTAGGAGCTCGGCCATGCACGCCTCCGCGTCGGGCTGCGGGAGCCAGGGGTGCAGCCGTTGCGTCGAAACAATGTCAAGCAGTGTTTCGAAGTAGCCCTTGGACGAGAAGCCAAGGGTCCCGAAGCGGCTCGCGTGGCTTTGAGACGGGTTCGGTTAGCGAGACGCCACCCGGGCCTAGCATCTAAGACAAAGAGGGCGGGCGAACATGATCGGAAAGGAGGAGCGACAGCGTGGCACGGAGAAACAAAGGTAAAAGAAACACCCCTGCCGACGTGCTTACCTCTCTTGAAGCGCCAAGGCCACGGCAGCCTGAGCCTCTGGCCGCACGCGATCCAGCTTCTCGGCGGAGAGGCGCAGGACGCGGTGCAACAACGTCTTGACCGACGTTGCCACCCACTCGTCCTCTCCCAGACGCCCATCGCCCAGACGCCCATCGCCCAGCCGCTCCCACAGGCACCTGGTCGCCCGCAAGGCCTCGACCCTCACGTGCGAGCCCACGTCTCCCCGCGCGTCCGTTGTGTAGTCGCCGAGCCCGTCGCGCAACAGCTCCAGAAACCTCGCCGGCTCGGCCTGGATGACCCGGCCGCGTGTCAGGCTGACCAGGAGGGCAACCCTAGTGGCCACTTCTCCGTCCTCGTGCCAGCGCTCAATCAACGCCCCACAGGCCACGTCGATCCCGCGTGAGCCGCGGCCGTAGAGATCGGCAAGGGGCCGCGCTAGGGCCAAGGCATGAAAGTAGCCGTGGCCCGTAGCGGCCGCCCGGCTGGTCGGTTTATGCCGCACCACCTCGGCCCACCCTCGCAGTAGCCTTTCCCGTTCCCCGGACTCAGACAAGACGAGGAGCATGAGTGCGGCTGCCGACGCCGGCTCAACCGTTTCTGTCTCATTTCTGTCGAGCCAAGCCGGAATCACGTCGCGCAGTTTGGAAAGCAATGCTTCAACCTCGGCCTTTCTCGACGGATTCACGTCAAAGGCCGAGACCAACTCGATGAGTCTCCCGCTCCGCGACGGCGACAAGAGGTCCTTGCCCGTCTGCGAGAGTGCATGAGAGACGTTGGGCAGTGCTGTTGCTTGGACAAACGGTAGCAGGGAGATGACAAGCCTGCTAGCGCCTTCGGCAACCATCTCTGGCTTTCGACACGACACCGAGTGGCAGTCGGCGAGAATCTCCGTTGTATTGCTCAAGACGTTGCGCATCAAAGCAGCGTCCATCGACACCAGCTCCCAGTTGTGTGTGTCGTCGTTGCGGAAGACAAGGGTCAGGTGATCCATCATGGACGCAAAGCAAGACAGCAGACCGTGTCTCTCCTCGACCTGCCGCTTCGCAAGTGACTGCATCTGCTGCATCAGCCGCCGGACGGACCATTCGAACCGCGCAACCGGGCCTGCCGGATTGGTGCGCGACAACTCGGCCGTCAAGGCGCCAAAGGCTCTCCCCACAACTCGCCGCGAAGGGGCGTCGGCGTCTCCGATGCCCCTCCAGCCGAGTATGCCGTCCATCAATGCCTCGGCGTACTGGGGTGAAAGCCGGGCGACGCCGACTGCCACCTCGTCAACGGCGCGCGATCGTCTCGCGACGGCGTGGTAGTCGACCGTCTGAACAACGGCGATGCCCTGCTCCACGGTATCGGGATGCCGGCCGACGAGCTCCTGCAGGGCCGCCGAGGCACCACGTCGGATGTTTCCCGCAGGGTCCAAGGCCGCCGTCACGACGAGCTCGGTCGCGAGCACCTGCAAAATGGAGGCGGATGCGGGGTGCGCCTTGGCCGCAAAGACAGACTCGGAGGACACGGCAAGGAGCTCCTGGCTCGTGTATCGACGAGCAGTAGCCCAGATTCCGAAGCACGCAGCGTCGCGGACGTTGGCTCCGACGCTGACGCCCGAGGTGCTCCGCTGCTCAAAGGAGAGGCCGACGAGGAGGGCGTGCAGAATGTCCGACAGCTGTCCCGCGGGAGGGGATCGGCGGTAGAGCAGGTGGGACAGGGTCAGCATCAGGCCATGCCATTCGAGGTGGCTGACGGCGGACAGGTCGCGGACGGCCTTGGCCGCGGGCCCGCCGGTAGGGCGGGTCCATAGGATGTTGCGGTTGAGCGCTTCCAGGACAGCCTCTACGACCTGGGAAGCCATGCCTGGGTCCAGCTTGAGGGTGATGATGCTGAGGGATTTGCTGGCTGACAGCCTGACTGGAGTGTCATTGTCCGACAGGCTCTCGAGGAGGTAGCCGATGGCGGTCTCGGTGAGCTCCGTGCTCGCCATGTCTCGGCGCGACTTGCGCAAGAGCGAGACGACGACGGAGCGAATGACCTTGAGGATCATCTTGCGCACCAGAGCCAGCGTGACGAGCGCCTTGGACAGCCGGCTCTCCCCCAGCGTGATGTCGTAGACGGTGTGGAAGATCAGGGGCAGGTACTCGTCCAAGTCGGACGTCTCGGCCGCCGAGCGCAGCAGACCGGCGAGAAACGAGAGGACGCCGAGGTAGAAGAAGGTCGTCTGCAAAGCGGTGTCCGGGGGCGGCTTTAGAGACGCGAGCGCCCACCGAACAAGGCAGTCGAGCACGCCGAGCTGCTGCATGTCCCTCCGCATGGCTATGCGCACGAGCAGCGCCTTGGCGGCATCCTTCTCCTTGCCCGGCGAGGAGAGGTACCCGACAGCCAGTGGCATCAGACGGAGCGTGATGCCGGGGAGATTCTCCGGCCACGCAAGCCCCGGGATGACGGGGAGGCCGGCGTGGTCCAGGTCGACGGACGAAATAGTGGACAGGTCAAAGGGGGCGAGCAGGAGGTGCGACAGCCAGAGCAGCACCACGTAGCGCTGCTCCCACTCCCAGCCGGGCCCCCGCGACTGCTCCCCTTGTGCCTCCTCGACGGCAGCAAGCAAGAGCTCGAGGAAGCGCGTCTCATTGCTGAGGAAGCGCACCACCACCTTTTCCCCGCGCACCTTGGAAATGGCGTACAGCACCCGGCAAATGGCCTGGTCGAGCGGCACCACCGCGCGGCTTGACGTCGGCGCCGCGCCATGCTTGCCGCCGCGCCGCGTCTGCCGATACTCCAGGTACGCGTCTGCGAGGAGCGGGATCCAGCGGGGGAGATGAGGGTCCAGAAGCTGCGGAAGCTCCTGGAACAAATCGAGGACCTGGACGACGAGGTCAGTCGATGCCCAGTAAGCTCCAACAGGTCAACAGTCATCCCCCACCGTCGTAGTCGCCTGCAGAGTCTCCTTGGCCCGCACAAAAGAGCGCACGCGCGGCTTCCCCTGAGCGTCGGGCTTGCGCACGAAGCCTCGTAGGGCGCGGTCGAGGTCGGCGATGAGCTCGGCCGACGCCTTTTGCAGCTTGACGTCCGAGTCAGCGTCAGGAGCGTCCATGGCTCGGCTGTCGGCGCGCAGCAGGCCTTCTGTATTTGTGACTTTCCGTTTCTCCTTTGGCTTCAGTCAGGCCCTGGGATGTGTCGTGAGGCAAGGTGAACGTCGAGGTCGAGTGTGGGGCAGCGGCCCGCCAAAGAGGGGCAAAAATGTCGTCGGTTCCAGGGTAGGCCCTCCATTGTTCGCCGATTCACGCCCGCACTATGTCGACTGCCCGCCGTGCGAGCCGCTGAATAGGATTCGAATAACATGACATGTCACACATTCAACCACTTGCGAATCAGGTACAGTAGAGTGGTGTTATGCGCAGCTTGAAAGGGCCGGCAGCGATTCACAATGCTGTCGGCCATGATTGGGGGTCAACATCGCCTTCTAACAACATGTCACATCATCTTGGGGCTCCGGTCATGGATTATACTTTTATTGATTGGGAATCTTTGACAAGTATATGCAACCGACTGCGGAGTACATACATGCGTTCCATCCATGCCAGCCCGCTCTGGCCGGGGGTGACTTTCTATCTACCTGGCACCACCGTGCTCTATGCCATCCAAGTGGTCGTGAATCAAGACATTATCAACGAGTTATTCAAAAATGTCTCTCTTTGGCCAAGCAAAGTGCAGCTTGCACCCCTGCGCTTTGCGCTCGCGGCTGTGTCGTGTCCTTTGCGGAAATATACCACGCAGCAGTAGTCTGCTGCTTCAAAGTAGATTATCAAAGATATGACAGAGATGACTCAGATGAGGAAGAGAAAGGACGAAAACTATGGGAGAAAATGTTCAAAGCCCCTCGTGCAGGCACAAATCATGCAACTGCAATGGCCGCCACGATGGCGTCGAGGGCACTGCTTTGCGTCGGTCCCGTGGCAGGCAGGTAAGGCCCGGCCCAGGAGACGCCCAGGCGGTCCTCGTTGTCGTGGTCACGCTCCCAGATGGAATCGGCGTTCCTTATGATGAAGTCGCGGAATTCTTTGTGGGGCGCGACGTCGTTGAGGTAGCGCAGGTTGCGCACAAAGATGCCCTTGAACTGCTGGCCGTCCTTGCCGCAGTTGCCGGGCTTGAGCTCGCACTTGTCCGTCTCGACAAGGATGCCGTCGGGGGCGAGAGCCTTGATGGCGGCCTTTGCAATGGCCGTGGCGCGCTCGAGGTATCGGACGTCGCCGGTGGCCCTGTTGAGCTCGGCGAGGCCGCCGAGGACGACGCCCTGGTTGTAAGACCAGGTCTGGAGGCCGTTATTCTTGCACTTTGCGTCGAGGCCGTCATTGACGAGGTTCTGGGCGTTGATCATGCCGCTCTTGTCGAACCACTCCCATTGGGCCTTTGCGATGCCCAGGTAAAAGTCCTTTTGGCCGGGGACGCGGGTGGCGAGGGAGGCGGCGACGGAGAGGTAGAGCTCGTTGGTGATTGCGTTGACGTACTTGCGCTCCTTGTTCCAGAAGATGCCGCCGCCGCAGGGGGTGCCGGTGCCGGTCTGCATGTCCTTGAAGATGTCGACGGCGGCGTCGAGGTAGTCCCTGTCGCCCGAGACGTCGTGGGCGCGGATCCAGGCAAGAGCCCACCAGCCCTCGTCGTCGTAGAACTCGTTGATGAAGTCGTCGAAGCCGCGCTTGCCGAGGAACTCGCGCTTGGACATGCAGCCGTTGCTGTGGTCGAGGCAGTAGGTCGAGGTGACGACGCCGTTCTTCATGGCTTTGACGGTCTGGACGTTTGTCTTTTGGGCCTGGATGAAGGTGTTGCGTATGTAGCCGCCGAGGTTGAGCTCGTTGGCCTTGTCGACGCGGAGGAGGGCAAAGTCGGACAGGGTGGTGATGGCGTTTCCCGAGTTCCACCAGGCATCGTCATAGATGCCCGTCGCGATGCTGTACCAGTCCCTGTTGAGCGTCGTGATGGCTCGGGCGGCCCGGTTGGTGTTTGTGCGGGCATCGGCAGCTTGGACGCTGCAAGGCGTGGATATCAGGACGGCCAAGGTGGTGAGAACCACTTGCCAGGCGCTTTGCCTGGGTCGCAACATGGTTGAGATGAGATTTTGTCCAGGAGGGTTGAGTTGGGGTCGTCGTCGAGTGGGAGTAAGAACGGTAAGAGATGGAGGCTTCGGGGGGGGGGGGTATAAATGGGTATAAGTGAGTGAGAGAAGCGAGCAGCGAGAGCGGGTGAAGAGGAGAGGGAGCGAGTGACGGGGCAAGCTGAACGAAGGACAGAGGTGAGAAGAGGAGGAGGAGGAGGAGGAGAAGGAGGGAGGGTCGGACGAAGCAGACGAGAAGAGATGGACGGGCAGCTGACGAGCAAGAGAGAGGAGCTCGGAAGGATATATCAAGAGAGACGAGCAGGTGAGAGACGGGGGAAATCAGGTGGAGTCTCCAATGGGTTGGCTGGAGAAGAAAAGGGCATGGAGACAAGGGCAAGGGTGTTTGAGGGTATGATTTGGAGTCTGGGACAATGCGGAAGGGGGGGCATATTGTAGCTATCGAGAGTCAGGCAGGTCTAGGGATTGATGGGCGGCGTCAAGCCTGATTGGACGAGAGGGAACAATAGGCACAAAGACAGCAGGCCAAAAGGGTAAAGGCAATGAATGACTCGGGTGGCAGTTGCGAGGCTCGCACGGCGGTGTGTGTGTGTGTGTGCCCCGGCGAGGGCGAGAGAGGCAGATAGAGGCAGACAGAGGCAGCCGGGGGTGGCCCGGGACGAGGGGACGGGCAGAGGGAGAGCATGACCATGGCGACAGGAGCTCGCCCAAAGGGGAAAGAAGATGAAGACGGGCGAAGAAGGGTGGAGCACAAGCAGGCCCAGGAGCTGGGAGGGCGGGTTTCGCGTCGACGGAAGCGAGCATGGGTGGCGCCGTCATGCGAAGTAGCAAAGGCAGAAAAGTGGACGAGAGATGGAGGGAGCCACGTCAAACAAGGGAGTTGGCGCGCGCGAAGGGGTAAGGAGGAGCAGCGCGGTGCGAGGTTGGTTGGTGTTGGCCCCTTTGCGAGCGAGGCCTCGCAGAGGGTGCAGGCAGTTGGAAGACAAAAGGAAGAAAGGAAGAAAGGAGAGAGAGAGGATGTGCGCAGCCAAGGGCGGACAAAGGACGCGAGCCCGAGGAGGCGTGAAGACGACCAACTGAGTGAGTCGATGAGAGAGGCGAGTTGTGGTTTGTTTCAGAGGGGAGATTTGGATTTACAGCAGCGGCTCCCCAGGACGGCTCCCCAGGACGGCTCCTGCTGGTTCCTGCTGGTTCCTGCTGGTTCCTGCTGGTTCCTGCTGGTTCCTGCTGGTTAAGCGCCGCCGCCGCCCTTGGCCGTGCCTGCCTGCAGAAGCCGCCAAGCAAAGTACCCTCGCGGTGCCCTCTGACCGCGCCACGGCGGGAAGGGGCGCTGGCTGGGCTTGGCGATGCCTACAGAGTAGTTAGTACCTACCTAAGTTATCCGTACCGAGTAAGGTACTTGTCAACATAGTACCTACCTAGGGAGGTACTAGGCAGACAGCACCATCAACTGCCGGTGCTGACTCTCGGCTCTTTGCCGCGCCGTGCCCTCATATACTAATTACTGTACTTAGTAGCTAAGTTAATTACAGCAGACAACTCTGTCATGGATGAAGCCCGCTGACCACTCGACACGTGTTCTGTGTCTGTGCCTGTGCAATCCTTTTTGCCCTGCATCTCGCGGACCTGCGTGCATACAGGCGCCTCCCGCCCTCTTACGTGCCTCTTGGCAGAAACATGCCCAAGGGCAGGTGACATCTCCAAGCAAACAAGCCAAAGACAAGGACAACGAGAAATTAAAACACCACCATGGATGATGAATAAGGGAGACAAAATGAAGCCCGAGGAAAAAGGGCGGAGGCGTTGGGGGGTGCCCTGGCTGCTTGCTCCCACCCAACAGCGCGAGCCTTGCTGTTGGTGCGAGTAAGTCAAGCACCTGGGCTGGGCAGCCGGTGAAGAAGAGATTGTTGACAAGCTGATGCACAAGCTGATGCAAGCCAATGCAGCAGTCATGAACTCATGATGCACATAATCAAGTCTGTGCTTTCTTGTGCCGACAGGAACTCTCTCCTCTTTCCCTTTACCCCCTCCCCGTCACCCGGCCGAAGCAGGCCTTCGGTTTGCATGCATTGCCAACTCTCCTCTGATGGCCGTCTCCGTCAACAGATGACAACTCGGAGACGGAAACGCCATTATAGCCTCCATGAACCATATACGATTATGCTCCTATTATTATAGCACCTGTTCATTATACCCGCAGTGGGGACGGTGGGGTCCGCTTGAAGGAATCCCTCCGTCCTGACTCCTCAGAGTCCTCACCCATCCTCTCATTTCTCCCTCTTCAGCCGTTTCCTGCGCCTCCGTCCTTCTCTTCCTTGGTTCCCCGTTTTCCTTTCCCTTGTCTGGAGACTTGAATATCTATCTCATCCTCTGTACATGCAACAACGTCAGTGCTGAAAACAGCCGCCATCACCTCATCCATCCACCGGCCACCTGTCCATCCGTACGACTCGCCACCCAAGTCCGGCCTACCGCCGAGTTACCCATTCTCAAAAAGCCGGAGCAGGCATCCCCCCGCGTCTCACCAACCAGTCGAAACCCAACGGGGCCCTGTCTCAGGTCTTTCCGATCCAGCCCGTGGTTTGCCCTGCCCTAGTCCCCGTATCATGGCGGCGTAGCACACACTAAACTTTATTAATATTCCAGCTGCACTTCCCTCTCCCTCTGCCTCGCGCCACGTCTCTTTGCCTGTCCCTGCAAAATTGCAGTACTGTAGCTAAGCCAGGCCAATCAGGCGTGCATGGGCTTTGTTCAACGGCATACTCCGTACAGAGGCTGCAACTACCCAAACAGGTAACCAGATCGAAGACAGTTCCAACAAGTTTGGCCGGTCCGTCCATGATGCGATGCCTTCTTTGCCCATCATGGTTGTCCTCCCCTTCCACTCATCACAAACACACCATGGACCGTGCCTCACTCTCTTCCTCCGAGCGCCTGGCCATGGGCCCGTCGTGCCCCAAGGCCAGGGAAGCGACACAAACACACACATATGCCTCCCATCCTCCGACAAATCGCGGTTCTCGTGCAGCAGCCGCCCTCGCAATCGTCGCCCAAACCTTGGCCCACGACGGCACGGCCTTGGACAAGCTGTCTTGCCCCGTCACGCCCTCGTACTCATCCCCAAACGTGCGCGCACATGGCCATCCGATACAGACCTCTATCCCCTGATCCCCTCCGTGTCGCAGCTTCATGACCACCTGTTGCCAGACTCTCCAGCTGCGCATGGCCATTGTCGTCCTACCCCAGCACGTCGTTGCCCATCACACACCGCCGCTCACGTGGCATCCCACCAACGACCACGTCCCCGTCATCGGCATCGTCCTCTGCCGTCCTTGTGTCCGGCCGCTCACACCCGCCACCGCCTCGTCGACAAAAGCTGCCGTGCCATCACACATCGTCACGGTCGCAGTCGTCTTCGCTGCTCTCTGACCACTTCCTCAGCTCACCACCCCTCAGCTCACCACCCCTCGCCCGCCTCGTACGCCTTGTCACATGATGCCTTCTCGTGCCTTCAGTTCCGACCGAGAACAGGCAGCGAGAATCAGGCTCGCGCGTGTGCGTCGTCGCTCCAGCACGCTGACCGGCAGACCATTGTGTCGTACCCGTGGCGTGTCTCTGTCACCGAATTCCATCATCATACCCTTGCCCAGCTCCTCCGATCGCGTGTTGTACAACTGGCCTCGTGGACCGTGTTCTCATGAGACATGTGGCCCGCGCGACATAATTTTCTTGTTTTGCAGTCAGTAAAGGCCACGGCGGCTACCGGCTGCATGCCTTCGGTTTTTCGCCTCTCCCCTTCCGCATCAAAAAAATTGAAAGATGAGACACGGGCGAGTAAAACGAAGAAAAAAGAGAAAAGGAATAGGTGATGAACAAGAAGAGAGAAAAATAGGGTATATCCCACAAGTCAGAATCCGTACGCTCGGCGCCAGCCTGTCCAACCAAGTAGAGTCTGGGTCATGCGCGTCAATGCCTCAAGCCACAATACATACACCCGTCAGATGCTCCGCTCACCCGCCCCGGGCGCGTCGACGGTGCCTCTTCTGGACCGCGAAGGCAGGCGGAGGCCCGGGCGCGCCGTCTCCCGACTGCTCGTCGACTCGGCCAGGCTGGACGGCCTGCCCGACTTGCGCACCGACAGCTTCGACAGCACCGATGACGTCTTGCTCTTTTCGGTGGACGTGCTGCTCATCCGGTCCAAGAGGTCCGGCGAGAGCTCCTGCACCGTGCTTATGTCAATAAACGCCCGGGGGAAGATGCCCCATTTGCCCTTGGTGTTCTTCCCGGACCAGCACCAGTGCTCGGGGTACGGCCCTGCTCGCGGCGTCAGTAAGACCGTGGACTCGCTGTGGAGCAGAGGGCGACCGGTACTCACAGCTAATGTTGGTGATGGTATCGTTCTTGTTAAACTTGAGCCAGTTCCCCGCGTCCTTTTCCTTGAGCGCAGATTTCCACCTCGCCTTGGCGCACACATGGCTCGTCCCGTCCATCTTGATCTCAGCCGCAGGCGGAGGATCCAACTTGATCAAGTCCGTGGGCACCGATGCGCAGACGCCATCGTGCCATGCGATCATCCACTCCCCACTGTGCTTTGGCGGCCACTTGATCCCCGTTATCCTCGCCCCCTTGTCAAGCTCCAGCGGGGCGGACCGGTCGTAGGGCAGCCTCTGCCCGTAAATGCGCCGAGCCTCCTTCTTGGCGACCCCCGTCGGACGGTCGATAATGTCGTCCTGGTTCTCGTGCGCCGGATGCGCCACGGGCGGGTTCGGCAAGTGGATATCGTAGTTGTTGCGCAAGTGCTCCGGTACCTCGGCCTCCTCGACCACGGTAACGCCAGAGACCTTTGGCAGCGGACGCGGGTGGCGCGCCAGGTGGCTGAAGAGGGCTTTCTTTGTGAAGAAGACCGTCGCATCGCTCTTGTCTAGCGTGTGTCCCTGGTGGACGCAAAAGACGCAGCCGTACGGGATGTCGTCGACTCTTTTGGCCGGAAGGTGGCTTTTCTGCAGGAAACGGATGCGATACTTAACGCCGCACTGGGCAAGGTTGCCTTCTCCTGCCAGGGAGAATCGATTTTAGCCAAGTGACCTAGAATCCGCGTCCGCCCCGGGTCCTACTCACCTTGCATGCTCACATCCTCCTCAACGTCATTGAGGTTGAGCTCGTAGAGACAGCCGGAGCACCTCGCGACGACTTTGCTCAGCGTTCGATGCACCGGCTTCTGCACCTTCTTGACCCCAATCTCGCCTCTGATGACCTCCTGGGCGCCCGGGCAGAACCCTTTATGTTGGTAAAAGGAATCGGAAGCGTTGAGCATCGGCCCCCTCAAGGAAGCGTAGCTTTGCGATTTCTTGTCCGAGACCTCGGGTTCTACCAGAATCAAGCCGGAATCGATTTCAAACGGCGGTTTTATCGGAAGCTCCGGTTGGCCTTGCGACTGAGGGATGGGAGGCGGCGGGCTCGTCGGCGGACCGCCCAGAGAGTCGATTTTGGACAAGGACTCGAAGCCGGCGCCAATTCTGAGGGAGAAGTTTGCTGAACGGTCACTGTCGTCTCCCGAGCTGGCTGCCGACTCGCCAGATGGCCTGCGCGGCCTGCCGAAGTGGAGTCTTTTGGGGGAGTTGGATGCCGGGGAAGAATGAGCCTGCGGTAGCAGGGGAAGTGGCATGGCGATATCCGCCGAGTCATCTTCGGGCACCGGCGTGCTCTGTCTTGAATGCGGCTGGGCAGGGATATATTCAGACGCAAGGTTGGAGGCCAGGCGACGTCGCTGGGCGGCGTCGCAGTCAGGGCCCCGGCCGCATCGTGCCGCGGGCCTGCGGGCAAGAGACGAGACTTGCCAACGAGGGTCGGGGCTCACCTGCGGAATGTACGGGTCGATTGGCGATTCAGCCCTCATCGGCGCTTCATCGACGGGGCTGAGGTCCGTGGTATGCCCGTCGCCTGCCCCGGGGGGTTCCCACGGATTCGCCGATGGCAGCCGCGGGGACCGTTCCGATGGCGGCTCCAACGTTAGGGCAGAAGCTCCCCGCCGCGCTCCCGGAGCTTCGTCAAAGAGACGACTCTGGATCAGCCTCTTGAGCTGCTCGGTGGCATCCACGGTGCTCATGTCCCGCGGGGATTCGGGGGCGGAAATGACTGGTGGAGGCGCGCGGAAAGGATGCGGGAAGGTGAGGGATGCGTGCGAAGGAGAGTGCTGAAAAGGAGACCCGGGTCGGGAAAGCGGCGATGAGGGCGGAGAAAGCTGGGCATGGTCCTTGGGAGGCGCCTCGAGCCCCATTTCGATGAGGGCATCGTAGATCTTTGGTACGACGTCGCGAGTCAGAGCTTGGAGTCGGGCGTACTGGTCGGCATCAAAGGCGTCGGCAGCGACATAGTCGTCAAACTCGTAGACTATTTTGTTGAGGTCGCGGCGATGCTTTCTGATCTCATCTGAGATGGTTATTGTCAGCAGGCAGGTCGTGGTCGCGAGGGATTGGATGGATGCGGCCGGTGATTTATACAAACCATTTTTCCTCAGGGCGTCGATAAAGTCGGATCCGTAGGCTTCGTAATATCTCCAGCAAATGGGCTCGAGGCGGTTCAAAGCGCGCTCGCCCTCCTTGACGAGGTCCCTGGCAGCCTTGAGCATGGTTCGTGAGCGGGCGGCATTCCCCACAGCGGTGCGGCCCTTGTCGATGATGTCGCGGAACGGCGCGACGACGAGGTTGGCGACGACATGATCCATGTCTGCGCGAGCCCCGAGACGGGTACGCTGTGGAAATGGGCGACAAGTGGTGACGAGGAAGAGGCGGGAAGTGGGCAATGGATGGATCGGTTGCGCCAAAGGGCGGCGATCATGTGCGGCTGGACCGCCGGCTTGTTGGGCGTGAGGGATTAAGAATAGAACAAGCCGCCGGCGCAGAGTTCAGACACCGGCGAGGTCGAGGCGGCGGTGGCCCAAGCGACAGAAGAGGGAGTCGACAGGACAAAGGAGGACGGAATCTGACTGCGGCTCGAAGAGTGCGAAGAGTGCGGGAGGAGAAGCGGACCAGCCAGAGCCACCCTTGGCTGTCGAGGCGAGTAACGTTGGCATCCAACCGCCCGCTCCCCGGTCATTGCAGAATGAGGCTGGCAGGCAGACGTCGGGGCGACACAAGGGGAGCATGCTGTTGTGGCTGGCCTCGATCCTCCCGGGGTCCCACTGAGGCGGCGGCTGATGGCTGCTGCCCAGCACCACGACGTCCTCGAAAGGCGTCTCGAAAGGAGTCTGTTGGCCCCTCTCGGGCTCGGGAACGGCTCGTCGACGGCCATGCATACACGGAGTCGACTCGGCGGCACAGCCCTTGATGGTCACTGGCTCGCCGGCGGGCTTTATCTGAGGGAGGGGAGGGGCCGATGAGTGATACCTCGAGGAGGATCCGACTGGTCCTCTCGCCGACCTCGTGTGCAGCAGAGGCACGTACAGTACCGTAGTACCTACTGTGCAGATCGAGGTTGCTGCGCATCGTCGAAGGGAAGACAAGTTTGGCCTCTCGGGGTACCCACTAACTATCTAGGTAGGTACTAGACCTACCTAGGTACCTAGGTACCTATATACCTATTTGGCACGCACGAAGTACCGTGCCTCGACATGTACATGGATACCTTACCTAACTTTCCATCGTACTAGGTACCTAGGTACCTAGCTTATGTGCATCGCCCTCCAAGGCTCCTGCCACCAACGCACGAACGTCCCTTCTCCGGCCAACACGGTCCTCGACTCGAGTAATAAGTTATTCTCTCCAAAATAGCCGCCGCCCTGAAATGGTTGGTCGGACCCAGATTCTGGAGGAAGAACAGGCAGGCTCTCGGTAGGATCAAAGCCGGCAGCCGAGGGACCTTTGGCCGGCGCACTGCTGCTGCCGTTGGGGGCTGTGCTTATACCTGCGCCAGGGCCCAGGCTGCCCATCTTGGCGACGGCAGGCAGCCATTGTCTACAGGGCGTTGGAATTCTTTCCCTTGGCCGTCCAATATCCCATACACAGTACTGCTGCTCGGAGCGCTTTCCCCCGCGCTTTCCTCCGCGCGCCTTCAACATTGTAGCAGCTGCCTATGCCTCCCTATGCCTCCCACGGTAGAGTACAATCAGTACCTACTAAGATGTACAGTGCCCCAAGCATCCACTATAGCCGGCACCAGAGCCCCGCGTTTCCCCCCGGCTCATTCTCCGTCCCTCCAAATCCACGTCTTAAGTTATGTATTAATATTAAACGCGCCAACACGGCTCCTCCCGTCGTTATCTCTGCCTTGTATTTTGTACTTTGACCTTTCACCTCCCTTCAACTCAATGACACCACCATCACCCATCACCCATCACCCACCACCCCCCTCCGTCAAGCTTGCCATCTCTCCCAGCGCCTCATCAGCATCCCTCGCTGTCCAGGCACTGACTGGTGCATTGTGCTCTGCTCTACGCTGATTATTCCGGCTGCCGCCTACCGACGCGTACAGAGTACAGATCCCACGCGTCAACCATGTGCAAGCGACTTTTCCTCTCCCCTCGACAAGCATGACCGCGTCCTCCAACGGATAGTTGCACCATCATCTCTCATTGGTCCTTTCTTATCTATGTACACCCGTCGCTAACATGCATGCAACCCGTGGGTTAATATACGCGCCAGCCCCCTTCGCCCCAAAGGCTCTTTGAAAAATAAAGACGAGAAAAGTCTTCGTCCAGAGTCGCATCGCCATCAGCCCACGCGTCCCCATGTGTATGCGTTCCCGACCGGGACAAGAACCCCTGGGGTATTGCATCCATCCGAGCGGCATCCATCCGCCCAAGGCTGATCAAGGCGTCGTGTGTACTTGACACGGCAAGTGTGGCCCGCTTCTTCAGTCCACCTTGCCGCACCGCTGGTTTCCTGCGGCACTCGTCTCATGCCCTGGGACTCGGCGACGGCTTGCCCCAATTCGTCTTGTCGTCGGCGGCACCCTGTTTTGCATCAAAGTCTCAGCCCAATTCTGCAAGCCACCTGGATATGGGCGGCTCGGCAGCAAGCGACGAGATCCGCATGAGCGGCTTACCTGCTCAATCAGCTTTCGCCCAATAAGTATTGTGTCATCCATGCCCCGTTGGCGCTGCCAAAACCTGTCCAATCGTGTCCAATCGTCAGCGCTGCCACAGCTTGTCAGGCCGTTCGTCCCGTGTCGGGGACTTACATCTCCTCCGGCGTTCCCTGTCGTCGGATCGAGGACTGACGCGCTTCCTCCTCGAGCGTCTCTCTCGTAATCTTGTCCGTAGTCTCGACCCCAGGCGCCCAAGAACGCTCCAGTCCGTATTTGCCCAGGTTTTCCTGTAGCAGCCTCTTCTTCATTAAGTATCGCTCCTTGCGCTCCTGCTGCAGGCCCGGGCTCTCCAGCTTCTTCATGACATACCGCACCGCCAGCTGGACGAGCAGATAAAAGTGCTCGGCCAGGAGGACGCTGAGGAGACCTCCCCACGCTGTGAGCCGAGACGCCGCCCCGCCGGAGCCGTTTCGGGTGTTGCTGCAAAGGTATACAATGGCGCTGCTGGTGATGCTGCCGAGCCACGAGAGAAAACCGAGCGCCGTGAGCCAGGTCCCGATGGAGTCCGATCGCCACGGGATGGGACGCTTGCAGCTGATGGCAATCTTCAAGGCGTCGGAGCGCAGCTCGACCCAGTTGTTGATGAAAAAGCAGCTGGCCGCCAACGGCCATGCCACGGAGAAGAGCGAAAGATAACCTAGTCACGTCGCGTCAGCGGCCCGTGCCCCTCATCCCGCGCGGCCGTCGTCGAAACGTACCGTACTGCATGACCATCTCTCGGTAGTCCCCGGTCACGTCGTAGGCCTCAAGCTCGCACTCGTTTCGGACTCGCTCCAAGAACTCGGCTTCCTCGGCGTGGTCCTGCGCATGGGCGGTCCCCTTGGAGTGAAACTGCTTGGCCTTGACAACCGCCTTATGGGTCACATATGGCACAATGACCTCGGTGGCAAAATTGACAATCTGGGCGGTAACGGTGAAGTAAAACATCTGGCTGCTGATGCGCTGGGGGTTGATCTGGAAGTGCTGTGTCGGGAGGGACTTGTCGCTGAATGTCACCGCCTGGGCCGTCTTCTTCCAAAACTCGAGCAGCGGAACGAGCATCTCGCCAAAGGGGATGTAGACAAATGCCGTAAACAGGAGAGCCATGTAAGAGGTCATGAAGTTGAGGACAAACTGCTTCTGGATGAGAGCAGCGTTGTGGGCTAAGGTTGAAATTGGCCAATTAGTATGGTTGCAAAATGCTATTTGGGGATTAGCAGCTCACCGTCGGTAGTCTCATAGTTTTCTCTCTCGGTCAATACGTTGGCCGCGCCCATTAGGACGCTGGAAAATGCGGGCGTAAAGATGACCAACAGAACGGTGGGCAAGAATGCCTGTTCTTGTCAACGGACCGAGTCAGGTGGCCTTTGAGCGCCGTTGACTCACCAAATACTGCTTAAAGGGGCCGTCGTATACCTCGTTGATGAATATCTCGAGAGAGTTGCATAGAACGACGAGCCCCCCTAGGACCAGGACGCAGGCAAAAGCAAAAGGAATCTGGAGCAGCTGCGTCTGTAACCTTTTGGCGAAGGGGTATATCTTCCTGGGCTCTCCCGTCACCGCATCTTCCGCCTCAAATTCCCATTTAAATTCTGGGCGCTGATGTTCGATGGAAGAGACGCCGCGGACGCCCCACTGAATAGCCAAGTCGACCTCTCTCTGCTTCCAGTACTCGAAGAAGACGACGGACCAGAGACCGCAGCCGAGGGCGTAGAAGTAGGAGAACTGGCCGAGGAGCAGCCAAGCAGCGAACCCCAAGGCAGAGGGAAAGATGAGGAAGCGCAGGTAACTGCGTAGAAAGGCAAAGTAGAAGGCGACCTTTTCCCCAAACTTGTTGCGGATCTCATCGATGTCTGCTTGCTCGAGGATATACTTTTTGCTCCACTTTTGTATCCAAGCCTTGTTGAAGGGCTGGTCATGGAGCGGGAAGACGGACGCGACATACTTGCTCCCTTGGCTTGCCTCGCCGACGCCCGCGCCACCCTCGTTGATGGGCCGGGTGATGAGGTCGTGGACAAGGCGCAGGCGCTCGGCCTCGGTGACGGGCTCGTCTTTGAAGGCGCGAGAGGCCTCCGTCTCGGGGCCTGAGATGCGAACGCCGTGGAGCCAGTCCTGCAGACGGGCTCGGTAGATTTGCTGGCTGAGGAGGTCCTGGGAGGCGATTTTGACAAAGATGAGCAGTGAGTCGTTGTCGCCGTTGCGGACTTCGGTGGTAAGGCCGACGTTGGTCAGGGCCTGGACGAGCCGGACGAAGCCGGCCTCGGCCTCGGCTCTCTCTGTAGCAGGAGTTGAGCAGGTGAGTCGAAGGGGAGCAGGCGGCCCGACGACATACCCTTTGGCGGCACCTTGAAGTGGATGACATAATCGACGCTGGAGGAGCAAGATACGCGTCAGCCTCTTCCAATGAGCGTGATGCAGTGCGGCCTACCCCAGGTTGCGCTGGTCACGGCCATCGCCGGAGCGGCCGCTCAGGCTCGTCATTGTGAAGCCACGAGCAGCGAGGTGACGGGCAGCGAGGTGACGGAGTGGGCGAAATCACGAGCAGCGACGTGAGCGGGAGGTGGCTGGTCGTCTCGAAACTGGTTGAAGCCGCAGTGACGGACGCAGATGCAGCTGCCAGAGTTTTTGCTCGCCGGGAGAGAAGGAATTGACGCTCAAAAAGGCTGCTGGAAGAGAGGAAGAGAGAAAGTTGAGCGGACCAAGCGAGCTCTCCAGAGGACAGGAGGGGCAAGACGTCATCCAAGGTCTCGATTCGGCGGAGCTTCAGCTGGACCGGGGTAATGCACAGTGCTGTACAGTGCAGTGCGGCAGTGGTCCCTGCATGCTGACCGATTGGGTTGGGGGGGGTTCGATGCGGGACCCCCCAGTCCCCCCTTACCAGGCGTTCCGAGCTACAGGGTAAGCTCCCAAAGTACCCATCAAGGTACCTTGTCCCGCAGCTCTCCCCTGTCATGACGTCGATGCCTTGGCGTTCAGCTGCAACACCTGCCAGCTCTCAATTCCACCACCACCACAGCACCGCGCCACCGCAAGGCGCCAACGCAACGCTCCGACTCGCCTCGCCCAACGACAAAACGCCTCGGCGCCATTCTGACGCCTGGGCAGGTGTGGACTGGAAAAAAGGAAGAGAAGAAAAGAAAAGGAAGAGAGAGAGAGGGCGGAAAAAGGGGCCGCCATGGGCTTGCTCGCCTGCCTCGGCCTCCGCCGCCGCGATGCCTTCGACAACCTCACTCTTATCGACCACCTTCTCTCGCCCCTCACCCTCCTCGTCTCACTCTTCTACCGTCTTGTCCTCCTCCTCCGCGGCGCCCCCTTCCACCCGCCCCGCAACAAGCCCCCCGTCCGCGTCGTCTGCATCTCCGACACGCACGACCACATCGTCGACGTGCCCGCCGGCGACATCCTCATCCACGCCGGCGACCTCACCATCGACGGCTCCGCCCACTCCATTCAGAAGCAGCTCGACTGGCTCAAGAGCTTGTCGCACCAGGTCAAGGTAGTCGTCGCCGGCAACCACGATGGTTTCTTCGATGCGAACACGCACTCAGACGGCCAAGTCCGCCCACGCGACGTCCTCGACCTCGCCGGCCTGCTCTATCTCCAGGGCGACCTGACGGTGCAGGAAGTCAAGGGCCGGCGTCTGGCCATTTTTGGCGCCCCCGACATTCCAGAGTGCGGCCCCAGCAGCTTCGCGTGAGTCGCCGTGGTTTCCAGAGTGCGGCATCTCATACATACACAGAGACCAGCCTCCCCATCTTCCTTCCCTATCGAGTAATCCCACTTTGCTGTCAATGCTGACACGACTGGCCTCTTCTAGGTTTCAGTACACGCCCGCCAGGCAACCCTGGTTCAGTAGAATTCCTCCCCAGACGGACATTCTCGTCACCCACAGCCCTCCCGTACGAACAAGATGCCATCCTCTCCTACCGTAGTGTAGACTTGCTGAACACGCAGGCTTCACATAGAAATACCACCTTGACCTCGGCAACGGCTGCCCTCACCTGCTACGCGAGGTCTGGCGCGTCAAGCCCCGCCTCCACGTCTTCGGCCACGTCCACTGCGCCTACGGCTCCGAGCCCGCCTACTTTGACCACCTGCAGCTCGCCTACGAGCGCCTGCTCTCGCGCCCCCGCCGCGGCCCCATCTGCGACCTAGTTACCACCGAGGCCTGGCTCGATGTGCTCCGCGTGCTCTTCCACGGCGTCCACAGCGTGCTCTGGAAGTGGTTCATGGGTGGGCCCGGCAGTAACCACGGTGGCCTGATGGTCAACGCGGCGCAAATGTACAAGAACTCGGGCCGGGTCAAGAGCCGCGCCGTTGTCGTCGATATCTAGGTTTCCTCTGCTTCGTTGGATGTCCCGATGACTCTTTCATCCATCGCCTCTTTGCCCTTGAGTTGTAGTGGACCACGTCAGCGTCCCCAACGACGCTGGATGTCACGGCGAGGCAAGAAGCATGCCCGATGAAAATGGACGAGAGTCATGAAAATGATAAAAGTACCTGATCATGCCTGATGCTTCTTCATTGTGAAGACCTATACCTATCTATGTAGACGAAGAGTGCTATCCCTTCGCACATAAAACACGCTATCAAGGCCATCCAGACGCAGACAGGGAGCAAGTATAGGAGATGGTATATAACTCGTAAATTAGTCGTCGTCGTCGTCGTCGTCGTCATCGGCATTATGTGATATCTGTTTCCCAATCTGATACAGAACTGATGCGCCGTCGCCTGTCCGCTTCATCAGTAAAAAGAAAATCCACATAATCTCAAAGCCTGGTTGCTTTTCCTCCCTCGTTGTGCCAGTGTTCTTATAGCACAATCGCCACGGCCAACGCGGCCGCACAGAGCGTCGCCGCGAGCCTCACTGTGCCCCGCATTCCCGGCGCTGCTGCCACCAACATTGGCGAGCCGATGCGTACGTCCTCCTCTGGTGCTAAAGCCTTCTCCGGGCTTTGTGAGTATGGATGTCCCTCTGAAGCCTTGGAGTTGCGGGTGCGGTCGTCCGGCTTTCCAGACCCTTCCGAAGATCCTGTGCTTGGCGCGTTTCCAGGGCCCTGCGAGTGATTCGAGCCTCCAGATTTCCCGGAGTCTTCCGAATTTCCAGAGCCCTCTGAGCTACCAGGGCCCCCTGAAGATCCCGGGCTCTCCAAGTTAATAGACCCCCCCGAGACGTGAGGGCTCGCCGAGTTCTGAGGAATAGCCAAATTTCCAGGGCGCTGCGAGTTTCCAGAGCCTTGCAAGGTTCCAGGATCCTCTAGGTTTCCGCGGCCCCGAGGGTTTCCAGACCCTTTCGAGTTTTCAGGGTCCCGCGAGTTATTCAAGCTCCCAGATTTTCTGGGGCCATCCGAATTTCTAGACCCCTGTAAGCTACCAGGACCCCCCAAAGATCCCGAGCTCTCCAAGTTACTAGAGCCCCCCGATACGTCAGGACTCGCTGAGCTTCGAGGAACACCCAACCTTCCAGGGCGCTGCGAGCTTCTAGAGCCTTGCAGGGTTCCAGGACTATCCAGGTTTCCGCGGCCTTGATGTTTTCCAGATCCTTGCGAAGTTCCAGGACCCTCCAAGTTTCTGCTGCTCTGAGAGTCTCCAGAGACCGGCAGGTCCCGAGGGCTCTCCGAATATCCAGATCTCTCCAAATTGCTAAGAGCCTCGGGATTTCTAGGGCTTCCCGAGTCGCCAGGACCCGCCCACTCCCCAGAGCCCCCCGAGAAACCAGGGCTACCCTGGCTTCGGGAATTCCGAGATCCCTGTGAAACTTGCCCAGAAACTAAACGCGCCGTCTCCGAGTCGTCGTTCACAGTCATGGGCTTCGAGACGCGGTTGCCAGCAACCATCTGCTGAGGCACCTGAGGAGGAACCGTGAAAGTCGTCGGCGAGGGCTCAGCTATGGCCCCGCTCCCCTTCCCTTGTTTCAAGTCACATTCCTTGACGTACACTGTGGTGATGCCGGGCGTTTGCTGCGCAGCGGCAGCGGCCGACCTTGACGCTGCTGGATTTTTCGCCGCCAAGCTCAATGGTCTTTGGTAGTTAGCCGCCGAGCTTGATATCTCTGGGTTATTCGCCGCGGCGCGTGACGCCTCTGGGCGATTCGTCGTCGTCTTAGACATATCCTGATACGTAAACTTGGGCCTGGCCCCATACTTCATCGGCTTATCCGACGTCAAGGCCCCGCCCGTTACATAGGATCCCCTACCCGCCGCCGACCCAGTCGCCGACTGCAACGGGTAGGCAGTCCTGTACGCCGTCGCCGTGACGAGCAGAACCAGGCGCGTCCCGGTCCCCCGAGATGCCATTGGCGGAGGCGGAGGCGCCAGCACGGCCGGAGGGACAGGCTCTGTCACGTCGCCGTACACGGAGAGGAGGTACGTGCTGGGAAGATTTCGTCGCCGAGCACGCCCTGCCGGAGCGCGCACGTAGTTCATGCGCGTCACGTTTGTGAAGCGCTGCTGTTCCGGCATCATGGTCGAGTTGTTCCCCATGCCCGCAGGTCTGTCGCGAAGACCGCCGCAGTATTCATCGTCATTGCCCGGGCACGAGTGATCGCACACAGCGCCCTCCTCGACACCCATGGCACGCGTGTCCGCGTCCAGCGCCTCCGCGCACAGGCACATGCCCTCGAAGACACCGGCGAAAGTTTTTCCGTCACACGACTCGACGCACATCTCGAGCGACATGTCCTCGCTCTCCTTGGCGTTTCTGAAGGTCTGGAAGCCGCTGCGCGAGCCAAAGCAACCTAGATATGCGTACTTGCCGATTTTGGTCGGGTTGGCGGGCGCCTGAGTTGCCGAGGATATGTTAAAGGATGCGGCGATGCCGGAGCTGAGGCCGCCGGTGCCCGTCGCTGTCTTGTTCGACGCTGTGGTGCTGGTGTTGGTTGCAAGCGTCGTGTTTGCTGCAAGTGTCATATTGGTTGGATGGGTTATATAGGCCGCAAAAGCCGCGTTGCTTGCACTGATTGTCGGCTTGACACGCGTGGTATCGTTCGAAAACTGATACGTGTCGATATATCGGACGTCCCAGTACGCATTTGCAAAGGCCTCCGGGGACTTGGCGACATAGTCGGAGCATGTGGACGCGAATGCATTGCACTGATCCGTCCGGCCCCAGACGGCATCGCCCCAATCGCCACAGAAGTTCTGTATTCGTTGTCAGATCCAGTTCTCCCGAACACGATGCATCGACGGCGAGAGCTGCCCTACCGTGTTGATGACTAGCCTCATGTTCTTGAAGAAGGAGTCAACATCACAGCTAGAACCCCCAAAGATGGCAACCGGAGCCGCCCACTGGGTGGGGTCTGGCTTCTTGGCCTCGATATCCTTGGGGATCTTGTCGCGCTCAAAGTGCCAGACCTTGATATGCTTGTGGTTCCAGTCCACAACGTACACGCCTCCGTTGATGGCGTTGAACCCATCACCGTAAGCCGACGTGGCGTTGGCGGGCGAGCCGAACCCGCAGCCGATATTCTCGCTTCCAGTGGTGCAGTCCGTTCGTTGCCTCTCGCCCGAAAAGACCTCTTCGGACGAAGAGGCCAAAGTGCAGCCGCTGCTGGTGTGTGCCGCAATGGAATTTTGATGGGCGGTGTTTATGCCCTCGATGATATCGACTTCGCCCCCATTGGGCCAGTCGTCGCCATACAGCCAGACTAGGTACTTTGTCAATCATCGCTGTTCCAGTAGAAGGGGGATGCCAGAGCGTACATGCTGGCCACATGCCGCATTGTGAGGGTGGCATGTGAAGAAAGTCGGCAATGAAGAGGCCATGATTAAACGATTCTTTGCTCTCGAGCCGTATGCTCGGCCGCCCTTCGTTTACACCATATGTGTTTGTGTGATCAACCCCTAGCCTTACCACGCCCGTGTTCTCATCGACAGAGAAGAGCCCCTTTGCCTCGGCGTTGGCCCTGTTTTGGTAGGACACGAAGCCGTGAGTTGGGTCGCTGCCGTCGAACCAGTTGAAGCCCGACAGCAACGACTCTCCCGCGAAAGAGGTGGCCAGAGAGTAAGCCATTGCCGCCGATCGACGAGACAAGTGGAGGGCAAGACTGGTCTGAAGTCTCTAGGCGCAAATGATATGTGTCATGGAGGAGACTGGCAAGAAAGGGCGAAGCAGGAGAAAAAAAGAGGCGCCACGATAGTCGATGCCATATATACAGCCCTATGTAAACCGAGTGGCAGGTGTCCTTGGAATGGGCCCCTCAGCCGAGCACATGGCGTTGGTCCTGAATGAAGATGGCGGTGATGAGCACAAGGGTGGCCATCAAGCGAGCATTCCAGTTCTCGAAGCCTCACCAGGAGACATCCACGACGCAAGGCCCCTGTTGTGAACCTTGTCACCCGAACCTCGGCCGACAATAGTCTTTGTCTCCCCCCTCCGCGAGGCACAAGGTGGCCGGGCGTGGCAAAGAGGTAATGGGCAAGAGGGGCTGTCCGGAAGCGCGAGTCTATCCAAGACATACTAAAGGAAAGTCGGGCTATGCCGGATTGCTGTGGCTTGAGGATTGCCCCTCGCCGTCTGAGACACGGCGGCACAAGCCTCCATTCCAGCTGCTGTCGTTGCCGTTGTCCGTGACCCTGTTTCACATGCCTCCCAGGGGCCGGCAAAGCCCTCCAGCCTCTGGTACTCGGTGCCGCCAGTCATAGACAGGAACCTCAGATCGGCAGTAGCGTGCGGGGGGCGCCCCATGACATGCTCGCTTACACCATGATGCGCCGCAGACCTTGGGTCCCGCCAAGAACGCGCTTACCGGTGACGGCGCACCGACCCTGGCCACTCTCCCATTGCGCGGCACGGCTCTCCATGAAGCTCTCTTGTCGGGGGTGAGACCCCTCGAGCCACTTGTGAATGCAAGAGTAACAGAAGACGACGCCAGTCTGGCAGGCCGTCGGCGTGACTATTTCGCCTTGACATATCGGGCAGGCCGAGGCGTCCTGCGGCGCGCGGACGACGAAGATGGGAAGCATCGAGGGCGTCGCGGTCGGGGCGTCTTGGGCAGTGAGGTCGGCATCGTGCGCCTCGTCGGACTTGAGTGCATTTGTCTCACCGACGCCCTTTTCAAAGGTGCATCTGCTCCTAGGGCTAGACAGGACCGGAGGTGGTAAGTCGATGTGTTCAGTAGCCTTTCGCGAGAGCTGCTTGGCAAAGTCGGACTGATGCCACCACTCGAGGAACTTGAGCGCAAATATGCTCATGGGAAGGAGCATGGACAAGCTCGACAGAGCCCTGGACACGAGTGCGCTGGGGGAAAATATTGATCGCGGGCCGGCGCGTGCAGTGGCCTTTGACTGGTCAGTTAGAGATTCGATGGCCTGATAGTCGGCCCTTGTCATCCTGCGCAGTCTGGTGCCAATGAGCCACATAAAGGGGTTGTGGTACTTTGTGCGGTCAAAGAGATAGGCCAGGTTGAAGGCCAGCATGGCGAAGTAGTAGGCGGCATTGACGCCGGGGTAGAGGTTGCGCAGGAACCAACGATAGTAGTGTAGGAATCGGTCGCCAACGGTTGGGTTGTCGGGCATGCGTGTGTAGGCGGCGCCTAGCAGGGCCCTGGGCGCATTGACCTCGTAGGCCTCGTCCAGCCTCCTCTTGCAGTAAGGGAGTGCGACGAGGACGGCGAGGTTCTTCCAGACATCTGCCGTCGTCAACTTGAGCGTGTCGCGCACCAGGTGCGGCGCGGCGAGGCTGGCGCGCGGAATCTCGCCCCTCAGGGCCTTTTCACGCTTGAGGCCGTAAAAGTTTTCGGTAAAGGAGCCGCCGCGGGTGGACAGGTAGTGGCGCTCGACAAGCAGCATGGACAGTGCGTAGAGCTCGTCGAAGGAGTTGAGGATGCGCAGCAGGTATCGCGGATGGCGCTGGGTGGCGATGGTGAGGAGATAGCGGAGGGTCGGCGGCAGGAGGTTGTTGAGCTGCTGCTCGGAGAGGACTTCGAAGAGGGACGGCTTGCCGTCGTCCAAGGTGCCCCGGAGGGCGGTGATGAACTCCATGCTGTTCGGATCGACGTCGGCAACCCGCGTCACCGTCACCGCACGAGGGAGCAGTTGGCGACGGAATGTTTCAATCAGAGCTTTTTGTGTGCGCCGCGAGAGCCTCGGTGCGCATGGTCCAGGGCTGAAGTCGAGAGTTGAGAGGCACGGAGGAGGTGACTGCAAGTGACGCAGCCGGGACAAGGAAAATGCGGGCCATGTTCCAGTACCTTGCATGGACGTGCCTCGGCATCTCGGAACTTCGGAACGCGGCAGCCGAGGATCCCAAGCTGGGCCTTGTGCTTCAATTCCTAAGTGCTAGGCAGACCGTCGTCGCAGTCTCGAACGAGGCCGCTATTACGAAGTAGCTAATACTCTTTACTTATTTAGTGTCCATTTTATAATCGAGGAAGTAGTTAATAAGTACTCTTAATTTAGATATTACTAATTAAGCTAGCTTATCTCTTTAACTAAGTCAACCCACCTAAAGTCCGGCGCACCCTAACACCGGCACTCTCTATAATACTATCGCGTCGTTAAATATATTATATTATAACCGCGTTTTCTCGTATATCTCTTGCCCTATAATTATAAAATAAATACTATTTATATTAGTAATACCTCGGCTTTCTAAGTATACCGAAAACTAGCTCTAAGAAGCACTTAAAGCTATTAAAAACGGGATACCTTAGCTTTATACTAGTCGAAAGTAAGGTATTTTAAGAGGGACCCTCTATATATGTCTTAAAGGGGCTCTGCCTATTAAGGAGGTAAAAGAGGTATATTAGAGGCTTAGCCGAGAGTAGGAAAAATACCTTACCGACTAGGTTCTTGCCTAGGCCGCCCTTAGGCTACCTATAACGTATTATTAGGTTAAGGAATTTACTAGCTATATCGTTAAGGCCGGCGGCGATACCCGTCCGCTTAAGAAGTAGTAGATTTCGGGCTTTTTAGCCTAGAACCTAGAGATTAGTACTATTAAAGGTAGATCTCTTAATTCTACTCGCGTTAACGGCGCCTCTATAGCCTATATCGAGGAATAGTTCTAATTACTTAAGCTACTAGCTATATAGGTAATCTTACTAAAGTTCTGCTTTAATATAAATAAAACGGGTATCTTTAAGGGCCTTAGCTTTAATAGTCTAGTACTAAGGAGCTTAGAGAAGTAAGAGACTCTTAAAAAGTAGCTAATATTATATTATTAGACTATAATAGTTAAATACGTCTTTACTATAGGCTAGGCCTTAACTCCCTTTATAATTTTAAGGGTTAAGACCTTTAATATTAATAGTTCTTTAACGAACTTAATTTTCTATAAGATTAGGACTTTATTACCTCCTTAAAGGGCTAGATAAGTAATACTATCGCTATTTAATAGCTAAAGTAGGTTTTTATCTCTTAAATAAGGCACTATAAGTAAGGTAATACTCTTATTATTATTAATAGCTATAAGAGTTATTAGACTAGTAATTTTATATATAAATACTTTTAGAATAGTATATATCTCCTTTTCCTACTATTATACTCCTTATATATCCTTTAACTACTTAATATCTCGGTTTTCTTACTTATTAAGGCCGTATACTAACATTAACTTAAGAAAATTATATCTTTCGATAATATAGCGCTAATTAATAAGGCTACCTTTTTTTATATCTACTATAAAGCTTAGTAGGCTAGCCTAACTAAAAAGAATATTAAGGGAGGTTAGCGTAGGTTTAGTTTATAGCTAATTAATATAGTAAAGCCCTTATTAAGCCGCTTTATCTTACTATAGCTATTAACGCTATTAACGCTATTAAAAAGGAAGAATATTAGCTCCTTAGCTAATAATAATACCCTTAAAATGCCTAAACGATTATAAGAAGTTCGCCGCCTCGTTATAGGGCTAGAAAATCGCGGTTAAGTTAACCGTATAATCTAACTACTCTTTAGTAAAGTTAGCCGCGCCCTTAATAATTAAAATTAGTAGCTTATAGCTGCCTAGCTTTAAATATAATAGCTTAAGTATTAATTATATTATCTATAGCCTTGAAAATAGAAAAAGGTTTTATAGGATCTTAATAGCCGGTTTATATAGATTAATTAAGTTATTAAGACGAGGTAGCGGCTTAAGTATATCCTTAAGCTAGCTATTATTACCGTAGCTAATTAGGACGTAGATTTTAAAGCTCTATATAGTAGCTAGTAGCTTAAATAGCTAGAAAACACTATAATTAACTATCGTAACGTTAAAATACAGCTTTAATTACTATTAAAATATACTTACCTTAGTATTATAGAGAGTGCCGGTATTAAAGTATACCGGACTTTAAGTAAGCTAACTTATAGTAAGATAAACTATTATAATACTAAAAAGCTTAGGATTATTATAAAAGTTATAAAATAGCTTAGCTTTTACTTATACTTATAATATAAGGTATAGCTTATTAAGTAAAAAGAATCTATAATTTAGTTATACTTTAATTACTATATAATATTATTACGAGAAAGATATAGCCGCCTATTAGATATAAGCGATAGCGTTAATTAACGTATATAGTATACGCAATAAATATAAGTATTATAAGATACTTTAAGACTAGTAATTTAGTTACTTATAATAACTTAAATTACTTATAGAAATTACTATAAACTTTTAAAGACTACTTATAAAAAAAGGAAACTAAATATTATTATATAAACCTTAAAAAGCTATATAAAAATCCTAAAATAATAACTAAATATATTATATAAAGGTTTTATAAAGAATTCTTATAAATTATAAGAAATATACTAAGATTTCTTAATAAATAAAAGTTTTTTAAAGATTATATTAATAATTCCTTAAAAGTTATTATAATTTTAAAGTAAGGAAATCTTAATAAAATACTTATACCTTCTTAAGTATAAAGGTATTTTAAAGTAAATAAAAGTATATATATAAGTACTATTTATAAGATAATATTAATAAGCTATATAAAGCTTTTTATATATAGCTAGCCTATATATATATATATATAAGGTCTAGCCCTTAATATATAACTAGATAGCTTAAGCTATAGCTTAAGCTTATAGCCTATAATAGTTAAAGACTTTTATATAATACCTTTCTTTTAGCTTAGTATAATAGCTACCTTACTAATAGCTTTTATATACCTTTATAGTTCTCGCGTAAAGAGATATAAGAAGTATATAAAATATATAAAGGTAAAAGTAAAAGTAAGGGGACGGATAAGTAGGGCTAAGCTATTTAATTCTTATAAGGGTAGTAATTAAGGTAGGGGAGTAATTATTATATTACTTTAATTATCCTTCTTTCTTTTATCTAACGCTCCTTTTTATACTTATCTAGTATCTTAATTAATAAAGAAGATCCTATTTAAAGAAGCTACTAATATCCTTTTAACTATCGAGCTTTTTACTAGTTTTTCCCTTCCTTTTTAGCCGTTGCCGGTATATCTATCTTATCTCTCGCTACTTATACTTCCCCTTATACTCCTACCCTCCTTTCTATACCTCTTTTTAGCTCCTTCTTCCTTCTTTTATACTAGGTGTTTTTAGCTTCCTTAGTCCCTCTTACTAAGGGATATCTCTAAGAACTACGAAATTAAGCTACGCTTCGCGATATACCCCCTTAGCTATAGCCTGCCCCTTAAGGGTATAGCTAATATAGCTTTAGGCTAGTAAACGTATAAAGGAGGTTCTTAGCTCTATACTTCTCCCTTTACTTAAGGAAAGTAAGGGCCCTTTTAGGTCCCTAGGCTCTTTTAGACCTACTTAAGGAATAGGGGCCTAAAGAGGAGAAAGTCCTATAAGAAAGAGGGCCTTCTTAAAAGGGAAAAACCTAATTAAATAGGGGGCCCTCTAAAGGGAAAAACCTCTTTATTCTTCTTTAGCTATAAACGTTACCTTCTTATACGGGCTATTAGCTCCTCTTATAGACTCTTAAGGCGGGCCTCTAAGGATAGCTTTTCTTAAATATCTTCTAGCTTAATTTACTATAAAAAAATAGCTAGCTTTTACTTTAATAGGGGCTTTATAAGACCGTTAGCTTTTATTAATACTATTAGAACCTAACGGACGGAAATAAGTCCCCTTTAGACCTCTTAGTATAACTAATACTAGTAGATATCGATATACTATAGCTAGGTAAATAGCTTACTATTTTCCTTTATAAGAATTTATATAGTCTATATATTATTATATTCTATAGCTAATAGAGATAGAACTTATAGTTATAAAGATATTAGTAGCTAGCTAAGGAAAATCGCTTCTTTTAATACTTCTAAAAGAGCTAGTAGTTCTACCTTTATACTTAAAGTTATAATAGTAGCTTGCTTTAAAGCTCTTTAAGTAATAGTTCCTCTAAAAAGGGATATAATATACCCTTATAAGCTCTTTCTATTTAATAAATTATCTATAAAGGATAAATCGCTTAAATAAAAGAAGATTTTAGTAGCTAATTTCTTTCTTTTCTACCCTCCTAAGCGTGAACTATATAATCTTATTAAATAAAGATAAAGGATAGCTCTATCTACTACTTCTTAATGCCTAGGGCTAGGATTCTAGTTATACCTAGCTAGCTAGGAGACCGTAAAAGAGATATCTAGTTTAGTAGAAATAGCTAAAAAAAGCAAGGAGCCTACCTTTTATTAATATTAGTATTTCTCTTACTCCCTAGCTTAAAAGGACGGATTAGGTAAAAGCTCTTTATTTAATATAAGTATAAAGGAAAGCTTCTTATTAAGGGAATTAAGAAGGAATTTATAAGCCACCTTATTAATATAGGCGTCCTAGGTAAGCTAGATAGTCCGTTAGGACCTATTTTAAAGGATTCGTATCCCTAGGAACTACTTTATCTCCCTTAGCTTAGTTATCTTATACCTTTATTATAGGCCTTTTATAGCCTCCTTAGTATTTACTTTTTCCTCTTTTAAGTAGGCCTAAATAATATCGTCGATATAAAAAAAGACTATAATTTTACCCTTTTATATTATATACGGTTCCTAAGGGACTTTCTTAAAGCCTAGGGCTTTAAG